AACAATAACTCATATTTCAGAACATTACACGTTTGTTTTTTTCGGACAGTAAAGATATATATAATCTAGACTGTGGGATGTGTCTTTTGGTACCGATCGTCTCACTACTAGGAAGAATCATCTGGAGCTTATTAGTTTACGGGCAAACATATTTTTTAGAGTCAAGAACCCGGAAAGTGAAAAAAGTTGTTCTTGTTTTCGAACGGGAAGTTTAGTCCTAACGTGATTTGCATATATCAAACTTTTGCTGTGTTCTTACGCAACAAAAGTACCATTTCAGTTCTAAAAAATCTATCCTGAGCTATACGTTCGGTAGATTACTTTTTTTTGAGTTTCACTATATTTAATAGTTACCTGTGGTTTTGCCTCAGCTTACTATTCGGTTTTTTTTGTTTTTCACGTATAGACTAGTTTCAGTTTATATCACTCGTTTTGTCCGTTTTTGTCCGTTTTCAGTGTGCATTTTAGTGTTTTTTTTAAAAGGTCTTAAGCTTTGCCAGCATCTATAACATAGTTTGCTTCAACACCGTCATGAAAAACTCATGCAAACGTCCGGGATGCCGTTTTGCTGTCACAACTGGCATGCAGTGTGACAACTGCAAAGGTTGGTTTCACGAAGCATGCACAAATCTGACAGCAACTGCTTACAACAAACTCAGCAAGTCAGACCAAAAGTGGGTATGTGTCACGTGCAACACGGACGCAGTAGTCTTGCTGAGTAACATCATTGTCCTACTGACAGGTCTTCGAAACAAGCTGTCAGTTAACTTGGAATACGACAGTAAAAAAACCGATATACAAACAAGAGCGCGCAACGGACTCAAAAATAGGGATGTCGATAGGTATGTCATCGATGGAGCATCCATCAACACTAACGACGACGTGTCGAGGCTCAGTACCATCATTACGTCGACGGTACTAGACTCCCTAGGCAAACTCGGGTCTCCCAGCTCAGGGTCGCTGAACACAACAGTGGTTCCCAAAAACCCTGCAGGCGATTCGACCCACGTTAAGAGAGCCCAAAAGAACCAGGCATCACCGCCTAAGCCGAGCAACCCAAGTGTTGCTGCACGGAAAATAACTGGTGATTTAGTCGCACAGTCTACCCCCAAGACTGTTCGTCCGGTCAATAAAGAGCCCAAGATTCATAAACGCACACTGACCTCCAAAAAACAAGTTATTAAACCTGAACCCATCGTGAAACCTGGTAAATTAACAACAGTTCGTGACGATTCTCTCATTATCATGAACCTCGTTGACAATCCTGACCTTCCTCTCAGTCTGCAGGACAAAAACGACAGGATGCTGTGGGGTGAATTGAACAAAAAGCTCGAACTTCCTAGAATAGAGCCTTTGACGGTCACCCGGCTCACTCGAGGAAAGGATTCTAAGCATCTAAATCACCCGAGGCTTCTCCGAGTAACACTTAAGAATGCTACCGACGTAGAGGACGTCTTGCTAGCAAGTCACTTGCTGAAATCAGATGGTAACGTAAGAATATTGCCCGACATACCGTACTCTGAGCGCAATATCATACGAAACGTCCCTAAAGAATCTCGCGAGAAGTTCTTCCGCGGAAGAAACATAATTGTCCAAGGTATACCGGAAAATGCAGACCCTACTCAATCAAATTCTGACATCAGGGAATGGAAATTCATCAAACAGTCCTTGAGGCTCAAACACATACTGACTCAGCATGTGACGAGACTAGCCAAGAAGGACGGTGATCCTAGACCTCGTCTAATGAAGATAACCTTCCCATCTTCTCACATGGCGGCTGCAGTTCTGGAAGCATTTCGTGCCAACAGACGTCGATTGCCACCTGGAATCCACATGCACCCGGATAGGCCATACGAAGTCAGGACCAAGAACAAAGGCAAGTTGGAGCTGACCATTCCACTTGTGGACTGTCTAAACGATAAAAAAAACGTGTAAAGGACAGGGCCTACCACCTCGGCAAACCTCATATAGGTGGGCTACCTGTCCATTCACATAAGGTTCATACAGAAAAACAGGACGAAGCTCACGCGTTCCAAATTGAAAGCATAAACTGCTTATATACGAACGCCGCGAGTCTACCAAACAAACTGGATGAACTACGTGAACTTAGCGACGCTAATAAGGCCCATCTGATAGGAATATCTGAAACCTGGATATCTTCTCAGTTCTCGGATCAAGAGTTAGCATTGCCTGGGATGACTTTGTTCCGCAACGACAGAAAAATAGGAATTGGGGGCGGAGTAGCCATATACATAAGCTCTTGCTTGGAGGTGCACCAGGTTCACAACCTCGAGTTTAACAATCTTGAGGAATCCATATGGTGCTCTGTAAGATTGTCTAGTACTTCCAGGTGTCTAGTCGGAGTCATTTACAGGAAGCCAACTGCCGACACCGAGTACGATAGTCGTATGCTGGAAGGACTATCCCGCTCTATCCGTCTCGGTTTCACACACATCCTGATTCTAGGGGACTTTAATCTCCCTAGAGTCAACTTCGCGGAACACACGTACACTGGAGGCGACAACTCAATTGAAGCTCGGTTCTTCAACCTCATCGATAACTTGGGCTTATATGAAAATGTGAGGTCGGCAACTCGTTGGAGAAACAGTCAGACACCATCGCGCTTAGACTGTGTATTCACTAACGAAGAATTCCTAGTCGACAACCTCTCAATCCTGGCTCCTCTGGGAAAAAGCGATCATGCCGTCATAGCCTTCAGTTTTGTCATCAAAACTAAGCTAAGGTATCCCAACAATAATTTGCGTTGGAATTTTAAACGGCTGAATGTGCCAGCTCTACATGACTATCTACAACAGGTGGCTTGGGATGTTCACCCTCAAATCGATGTGGATGGTCATTGGGACTTCTTACTGCACACGCTCTTATGTGCTACAAACCATTCAGTTCCTCAAACGGTTCCCAAAAGCTTCAAGCCACCTACAGTAATCAAGAACCGTACCCTTCGCCTCCTAAGCCGCAAACGGCACTGTTGGGCGGAATACAAACGAACTAATAACGATGGAGCGTATAGGCAATACAAACATATCAGGAACACATGCACGAAGGCTATAAGAGAAGACAGGCTTCAGTACCAAACAAAGCTTATGGACAAATTCGCCTCTAACCCTAGAAGCCTATTCCGTTATGCAGCCTCTCTTCGTCAAGCCAAAACAGGAGTTTCTCAACTGCTAGGTCTTAACGGCCCGACCAACAACGATGGCGACGCCGCTAACCTTCTGGCGGCCCATTACTCTCAAACATTTCAACCGGCTGACATCAACTTTATTGACGACAGTTTCATCTGCAATTCCACAGGACTTTCTGAAGTGGACCTAAGCGCTGACTTGGTGTTCCGGAAATTGCAGCACTTAAGACTTGACACTTCTCCTGGCCCGGATATGGTTCATCCTGCCATACTGAGGGAGGCAGCCTCAATCCTGGCAACGCCGCTTAGCGTGATGTTTTCACACTCGCTTAGCCGAGGCAAATTACCGGAAAATTGGAAGTTGGCTCACATCACACCAATTTTCAAAGGTGGTCGACGCAATGAACCTTCAAGTTATCGGCCGGTGGCTCTTCTGTCATTACCTTCAAAACTCATGGAGTCCCTGATATGCGACGGTTTAAATGACTATCTACTGTCCTTAAATTTCTTCTCACCCCAACAGCATGGTTTCAGGAAGGGTTACTCTTGTATAACCAACCTGCTGACTGCGGTGGACAGATGGACAAGCATCCTCGATCGCAAGGGAAAGGTTGATGTCATTTACCTTGATTTCTCAAAAGCTTTTGATAAGGTTAACCACTTGTGTCTTATCAACAAGCTCAAACGACTAGGTATCAAACCACCTCTAATCGATTGGCTTACTTCATACCTAAAAAATCGACACTTTAAGGTTAGGGTTAATTTCACTTTATCTCAGGCTATGGAATGTCCTAGTGGGGTCCCCCAGGGCTCAGTACTAGGGCCTCTTCTCTTCTTGATCTACATAAATGATCTTCCTCAACAGGTAACGTCAGACTTATTACTTTTTGCCGACGACGTGAAACTTTGGAGAGAGATACGCAACCAAGACGATATACAGGCTCTTCAAGAGGATCTGACTCGACTTCATAGTTGGGCAGACGATAACGGACTTACCTTTAACACTTCAAAGTGTAAAGTAGTCCATCTGCGACATGTCGCAAACTACAGTTACAACTTAGGAAACTCCTCTCTAGTAGTATCCCAAGTCGAAAAAGATTTAGGAGTCCTGGTGCCCCATGACTTAAAGTCTTACGCTAACTGTGACAAAAATGCCTTCCGAGCAAACCTTGCACTGGTAACGTTGAGGCGCATTTTTGGTCAGTTTGACGGAAGAACTTTCCACACAATCTTCAATAGTTTCATCCGTCCCCATTTAGAGTACGGAAACATAGTACTCCCCCCTCACTCCAAAAGGATAAGGTCACTTTGGAGCGTATCCAACGGCGAGCCACGAAATCAGTTCGAGGACTCAAATCTAAGCCTTACGAAGAACGCCTCCGTTCACTAGACCTTTACCCACTAGAATATAGGCGTCTTAGAGGTGATTTATTAATGGCTTATAGTATTCTTAACACTTCTGGACATCCTCTTAAACACCTACTTAAGCTTAGTTCGAACAATAACCTAAGGGGTAACACCCAGAAACTGGAAACACAACATAGCAAGACGGAATGTAGACACAACTTCTACTCCTTAAGAGTTGTCAAAAGCTGGAATTCGCTGCCGGCCGAGCTAGTCCAAGCGACTTCTCAGGAGTCCTTCAAGAGGCAACTTGACCTATTCTTAAGGACCAAGGACAGCATCGCACTATGATTTACCAATTTCTTTTCCTCTTTTATTGTTAACATACCTAGGTTCCTGCCTGGAGGATTTGGTGATCCCCTGCTACTAGACACGGAAGCCTGTTAAGCGAAAGCTTCTTCTATTCCGTCCACAACCATTTGAACCATTTGAACCATTTGTTTTACAAAATCACGAAGTGTCGCCCATTCAAAACGTTTTCTTACAGTTTTCGTTCCTAGATTTGTTAGAGTGGGTTTCGAGCTTATCATTATTTGTTTGTTGTCTTTTTAATATGGCTTCTATGTGAAATAACAAAATTACAAGTTATATACGGTGACTTGTAACTATTGTTAAATTCTTATGCATAGTTCTTGTATGTCATTCGTTATTTCAAAACAGAAGTTTGTTATTGGCAGCTATATTTTTCACTTATAGTACACTTATAGTTCACTTTTAGTGCAGAACCTTCTCTGGTTTTGTAAAAACTCGAAGATGTAGATTCGCAAAGGTGTGTGGTTCAGAGTGACAAGATAGGGGGATTTTGGAGTAAACATTTACATTCTCAGTTTCTTGATACCTTAGTATTAATTATCCGAAATGTAATACGAATAACCCGGACAATACAAAGTTTATCTGTTTGGATCTTCACAAAACTTGAAGATCAGCATCATGATAACACGAAAATTTCGGTGGTTTACGGTTGAGTCGAAATCTGTTGGGTGGTTCATCAGAATCTTGTCGAAACTTAATGACATTTAAACAGTAGGGGTTAGTTTATTGTAACAACTATATGCTTGGACACAGCCGTAGCCTATTTGGTAATGTCAGTGTTTATATGCTCACAACTAGTCAGTATTTGATAGTTTCATTCTGTCCCGTCGATTTGCTTATTCCTAATAAATAAACACAAAATCTGGTGTGATTCGGCATCAAAATTGAGTTGTTTTACATAATATGTCTGAATAGCATTGTCCAAAAACGAGGGGGAGTATACAGGCGAACAAGAGTAGTGTATAATTGAGGTTACATTTAAGTTAACAGAATAACGGTGTTTTATCCATGCTGAAAGAGTTCCATTAATTTTATCAAGGGTGCACAAAAACAGTACACATCGATCTTGGTTTGCTCCTATTCTGAGCCATGTCTGATAACATTTCAAACCGCCGAGTTGCAATAACTTTAGTATCTCAGACATGGGGTTATGATGGGCCGACATTTGTAGCACATGTTCAAGCCACAGGAGCCGTTGTTCCATTATAGTAACATCAAGTGGTTTATCATGTGTGCCCAAACACTACCGAATCTCGACATTACCAACATAGTGTTGTCACTGAATGTCGTCAGTCTTTCGGAGACGACGATGATCAAATATAGGTATTCACCTAATCTCTTCAACTTGAAAAGGGCCAGGTTTTATAAACATGAGGCAGAACTTTCACAGGCGCGTTGTAAACCCAACCTTTTTCAACCGGACTAATACCAGTGACGTCCACAAAGTCGGTCCAGATTTCATAAAACTGCTCCGACTTTCACCATACGTAAATTGATTCTATCTGTCACGCCACCACAAATGTTCACACAACTACCGAGATGCAAAAACTTTTCAATTACTTCTGAAGGCTCATCACAAGGAGTGAGTGTAGATATAGGCTTTTATCTGTCTTGTAAAAGTCTTTTGCATTCGTAATGTACAAAGCACATTCCATACTTAGTGTCACTCATTGCAGACTAATTAAGATCGAAATACTCAATTGCAGAGTTTCGAAAATTTTTAGTTATCGCATCTAGTAGATCTACTCTATTGTCTCTATATGCGTATTACGAACATAATTTCCGTCTAACATCTGACATCTAATGCATCAACTCTACTTTATCGTATGTAATATTCCAGACCCTCAAGTCATCAAGTTAAGCTCATAACTCTACACATAACACTTTGTTTCAATAGATTTTTGAAGTAAGTATTAGTCAAGGTTCTTCTGGTGATAAAATTTCCTCAGCGTTAGATTTTGGGAATGATCAATAGCGTATAAAGATTCCTAACTATTTGTCTGTGGAACTTCTTTGATCATTCAAAAGCAATTAAGAACCTCGGAAATGTTCATTGGTTCAAGTTGTCATACCATATCAATACAGCGGAGAAAACACATCAAGAAATGTCTAAGTAGTCAAAGTGGTAACAGTATTAACAGCAGTAGCTTTTTATTATTTATTTGGTTAAACACATTGATACTAAGGGGCTTGGTCACTTTCTTGAGCCTATATAAAGTATTGCCAAAATAAATGTGTCAGGTTACTCAAACTGAAACAGGCAGTTTTCTTAGGGGGCCACTTTCCGAGCCGTTGACTTAGGGGTCTAACTTACAAGACAGTTGATCACTGTAGGGAGATGCGGTCCTATGGTACCCATTGGCCAAAAGTAGGTCCGTACGTTATATGTTCCCTCAGGGTCCTGGAACCAATGTGCATCATAGGTTTGAAATCAGGCTTTTCCAACTGCGCCAGGAGGGTTCTCCATACCCACCAAATTTGTTTAAGCGTTGGATATTCGCTTATCGTCCCTTCAGTTTTGTAAACAACACCCGCTTCTCGAGAAGGCAATGAGTAGGACTTCCTTGGTAGTGGCTATATACTTGTGACCATATAAAAGCATTTCACGAGGGAGAGCGGACTCTTCCCACCCTCGACTGTACCAGAGAATTTGGGTATATGAACTAGGCATAGAGAAATAATTCAGGGGAAAGTTAATTCTTGCAATCTATCAGACAACTTCAAGTTCGAGGTCTAGAGGAAGAGTGAATAACTTGCACCATTGTATAACTCAGTCCCTAAAGAATTCGGTACGAATACACAAGGTTTGTTTGAAATGTGTAAATACCTGTAAAAAGTTCACCTCAGAAAAAATGCATATATTTTCAGCCACACCATATCTCAATATACTTTATGACTACAGTAATCAGTTAAGGTCATATTGCGTAACGGTTGCTTGGGATATTGATGTACCAATAATGCAAACAACATTTAGTTGCCGAAGTTATTGGGCGATGTTTTATGTATTTGGTTTTTCTTAACGTATACCGTTAGTCAAAAAGGATGCAGAAATATAATCTTTTAGGCTATTCAACATCAGGAACATTTTTCAAACACATCTAATGTCAGTATAAGCAGAGTTGTTTTGTTGTGAAGTCACTACACATTATTTGGAGATTTAAGTGGTAGGTAAATTCATACTTTCTAACTTACTCTACGGCTTTCTGTCCCTATGCAAAGCTTGTCTTGATCTCACTTTTAATTCACTGTTTTAATATCATCCAAGTGTGATGACTTTACAGATTGCTTAGGTCACTATTTATCAGCTGCTATTACAATAGCGATATATCTCAATCAGTCATATGCTAGGTTATAAATGGGCACACATTTTGAAGCGGTTCTGGTTTATCTGAGTAATAGCAGTTGGGATGATGTTAGGTTGACACCTGCATGCTCTCTCTTTACAATTTGTGTTTCTGTGCTCACTATGAAGGCTTAGAAATCAGAAATTTTTTTCAGTGTTCCAGCAGCGTACGCACTTAATGGCGTTCTGCTTCTGCTTGTTTGAGATCTGGACTCGTTCAAAGTTTGATTTAAGTGAACTATCATTTTTAATTAAGACCATAGGGTTAGTTGATTGAGTCTCTGCAAGAAAAATGTGTCGAGTTATCATCTGCAACCATAATCTAACCAGTCTATAGTTGTTGGTTCAATTTTACTGTGATTAGATAAGTTAATGATTTATTCTAATGCATTATGATGCGTAGATTGACTTTCTCCCGTCGCTGCTTAGGATAACTAAAAATCTCCATCCTTTTGGTGAATTTTTGTCACTTAAAGCTATCTGATTATATTCTTTATGCCATCCTGAATACTATGTTCCTTGTTGTTGATTCTCTGGTTTGCTTGAAGTTTTAAATTGATCAATTATCGAACTCCCACTAATTATTTTGTAACATCTACTTGGGAGAATTTCACTTCCGGGATTTTAAACGTGTTTAGTTCTTGGACATACAGATATTTAAGTGTAAATTATAAAATCATAGTTCTGAATCCTTCAGTCTAATGTAGTATCGTCATATAAATATTAGGGGCGGCCAGACCAAAACATGGCACAAGTCCATGAAGTCACTGACAAGTGGACTGAGTCATGTCGGTAGGTGTAGACTACCTGGTTGGGGACCGCGAGATGATAACAACCGATGGTTAGAGATCCTGAATGACATGGCTCGAAATCGTTTGCGATGGCGCAGGTGCATACACTCTTTGTGTTCTCCCAAATTTCGATCTCCTTATTCCTCCTTGTCTCTTATTTTTCTCCTCTCAAGTTTATTTCACTGTATTGTACTCTTTAAGTAACATCTCCAAACACTAATCTTCCCGATTACTGCCTATACTCTTATTACCTCTACTACTACGGGATTTGAATCGACCACTGCATCTCTATGCTAATGTGGTGTGGCAACTCAAACTGATGTACGTACGTACGAAGTTCTACGTTGTTACTGACTGACTGACTAATATAAAATAGTGTGACATATACTCAGTTCACACTCAAGAGTTGTACTGTATTATTTTCATAATAATTGGTCCATGTTCTCTGTCTGTCACAATTTAGATGGTCATAATGAATATTCTACAAGATTTAACCCGAAAACTAGGTGACTGATAAATATTAAAATATATTAATAAGATATCGAATATTCATTTATGTTTGCTGCACTAAATGCACTAACAATGTGCCTTTTTTTAGGAATCTGAATATTTTCGTTATTTAGCTTTCAACTATGCTTCTCAAAGAGTATCGCATATGCATGCCCTTAACAGTTGCCGAATATCGGATAGCTCAGTTGTATATGATTCAGGTAAACGTTTTCGGTTATCTCTGTTTCCAATGTTTTTTTTCTTGTGGCTGTTGGGCTTCACATCCTATCACTTTAGGAATATTACAGATATACGCATATTCTTCCAATTAGTACTGTTACATCACATCACAAATTAAGTGATACGGTGTAATTATAGACATCATTAAGTCGCTTAGAATTTTGTAAAAATAGTACAGGTTGATTAAACCATACTAACTTGCCTGTTTTTGTAATTTTACATCTTTTGTTTGTACTTAATGAAATTTAATGCTATTTTTTTCACAACCTATGTCTATTGAATACTGATCACGAACTTATTCCAATACACCATTTGTAATGGATTTTATTTACATTCTGTTTCTTAAAAGTTTTGGAAACCGCCAGTACAGATAGCATTTTTTCTATCCTTATTTATAAAATGGCTTATAATCGCTTGTATGGAGTAATGCACATACTTTTATATTATGTACTGTGGCACCGTTATTAAAGATAGTTGAGTCGTTCAGGTTTCACAACATGAAAATATCTTTTAAAGCCTTTAATTGTTCACCTAAAGATGAATGGTTTCACTCATATACTTTCCAAAAGGAAGAAGCCAAAGTGTATGTTTAGTTCATTGAATCATGTAACTCATTGAGTAAGGTCTATTGATGCTAGATCGGGTGTGGATCGAACTTTCTATCGATTGCTTTAAGGCCAAGTCCTCTGGCCCTTTAACCACCGCTTCCCAACGTTTCAACTATTGGGATTTGGTTTTCAGTTTGGCATAAGCTTTTAATAAAGGAGGGCCTAATTTGCAGTTGAGATAGAAAATTTAATATTTTGTTGATAAAACCACTCAAGATACTTTTTTCAGTTATGAAGAAAGGTATCGATAAAAGTGAATTCAATATATCAATTATCAAAAGAATATTATACAAATAGGAAGAAAGCAGATGGGTTTTTGCGGAGACTGACATACACTACTTATTCACTATATGAAACTAAATTCTGAGAGTATGTATAATTGATTGGGTCAACAGTTTCGGGAACTAAGAACTGGAAACCCTCTTTAAAGCAGATCACACTTGTAGTTTTCAAGGATACTTTTTCCTGAGGATAATTTATTTCATGGAAGAGAGGTCAATATATGTAATCCTGTCACAAAATAATATTGATGCCATAAATGCTAACCACTTAAGCAAAAGAACTTTCCATCATTTAAATTTCAACAAACGCAGATTATGAATTCAGTGCCAGATTTGCTGTATAGTTTCTCTCATATTGACTATTTGATCATAACTTTTTTTAATACATCAATGGAGCACATGTTTCTAAAGGTATTTATTTCCATTGCTTTAATGAGCGTAAGATGTATATTTCTTCCATGATAATAAAAGTGAAATATCTTTGGTTTAACAAATGAGTTATTTGTAAATCTTTACATTTAACCTAGAAAAAGTCTCGTGAAGAAAGTACAGGTCGTGGAAGTGGTGTAGAAATATTGAAAAACGAACCTTATGAAAATGGTCCTGGAGGAAAAGGGCAATACACATTTAAAATTTATCATGTTGGTAGCCATTTACCAAGTAAGTCTTATGTTTCTGAATCCTTTGGACCGAAATTGTTGGCGTTTTTCACAGGCCACTTATTAAACACTAACCTAATGTATTTTACTTATTATTTACGTTGTATACAAGCTATATCAGAAATCTGATTGTCACTTAGTATGTAGAAACCGATATACATCTATATATTCATGAGTAGTTTCAAAAACATAATATGCATCGATATATATATGCATTACACTACTGTCAATACCAGGGAAAGTCTTCAACAGAGTGTTGCTGAACCGGATGAAGGATGCAGTAGACGCCCAACTTCGAGATCAACAAGCTGGATTCCGTAAGGATCGGTCGTGCACAGACCAAATTGCAACACTACGGATCATTGTCGAACAATCAGTTGAGTGGAACTCATCACTATACATCAACTTCATTGATTATGAAAAGGCATTCGACAGTGTAGATAGGAGGACATTATGGAAACTTCTTCGTCACTACGGAGTTCCTGAGAAGATTGTCAATATTATCCGGAACTCATACGACGGACTACAGTGCAAAGTAGTGCATGAAGGACAGCTGACAGATGCATTCCAAGTAAGGACTGGAATCAGACAAGTTTGTTTAATCTCTCCCTTCCTCTTTCTTCTGGTGATCGACTGGATTATGAAGATCTCGACATCTAAAGGAAAACACTGCATACAATGGACAGCTCAGAACCAATTAGACGATTTGGACTTCGCAGATGACCTAGCCCTCCAATCGCATACACACGAACTAATGCAGATAAAGACAGCCAGTGTAGCAGCAGTCTCTGCATCAGTAGGCCTCAATATACACAAGGGAAAACCAAGGTTCTCAACTACAACACGGAGAACACCAATCCAATCACTCTTGATGGCGAAACTCTGAAAGATGTAGAATCCTTCAAATGCCTGGGAAGCATCATCGATGAACAAGGAGGATCAGATGCAGATGTGAAGGCAAGGATTGGCAAAGCAAGGGTCGCATTCCTACAATTGAGAACATATGGAACTCAAAAAACTTTCAACCAATATCAAAGTGAGAATCTTCAATACGAACGTCAAGGCAGTTCTACTGTATGGAGCTGAAACTTGGAGAACTACAACAACCACAATCAAGAAAGTACAGGTATTTATAAATAGCTGTCTACGCAAGATACTCAACATCCATTGGCCGGATACCATCAGCAATAGCCTTCTGTGGGAGAGAACAAACCAACTTCCAGCTGAAGAAGAAATTAGGAAAAGACGATGGAAATGGATAGGACATACATTACGCGAATCGTCAAACTGCATCACGAGGCAAGCCCTAACTTGGAATCCTGAAGGGAAGCGAAAAAGAAGAAGGCCAAAGAACACATTGCGTCGGATTATAGAAGCAGATATGAAAACGATGAATTACAACTGGAAGGAGCTAGAAAGGGTTGCCCTGGACAGGGTTGGATGGAGAATGCTGGTGAGCGGCCTATGCTCTTTCACGAGGAGTAACAGGCGTAAGCAATATATATATATATATATATATATATATATATAAGCCTCCATCGAGTTGGTTTGAATGTGTTTTACTCATAATTAATCACCACCTACCTTGATATGTGTTCCTGGCTGATATGTAAATAGATTAGAAAAAAGTTGGGGACTAAGAGCCCATTGTGAATTCAGTTTATTAGGTCATTGACTGCTGGTATGAGTCATGTCAGTCGGCACAGATATCCTGGATAGTACTCGAGGAATACTCACTATGAGTTATCTGTTCCGGTTAGAAAATTTGTGGAACAAACATTGATTAAAGGTCCCATATGAATATAATGTAGTTTAACTGTTGTTTTATAATTTAAACTGTAGCTTGGCTTCGTAATATACTACCATCATCGGCTCTACGTGTTGAAGAAGAGGCATGGAACGCGTATCCATACACCAGAACAATTTATAAAGTTCCCTTTGTTGAAAAGTTGGTACTCGATGTGGAAACATATTTTTTTGACGATGCTGGGGAACAAGATGATGTTTTCAACCTTTCACCAGATGAAAGAAGGGCACGTATCATTGGTGAGTTGTCACATATCGGATACTATCTTTATCGGTCTACATATTTTACTTATGAAATGGAAGGTAAAGCTTTTTTATCGAATAACTGATGTCCAGGTTTTTTGGTTTAATTGTATCAATTATGTTTAATTCATTTCTAGTTTAAATTTGTTCAAATTATCGTGTATCTGATGAAGAGGATTAAAACAGTGGTTCGTGTGACTGAATGTCAACATAGATGATTACATTTATCCAATGACATGAGAGAAAGACGAGTCAACTGACCGAATCAAAGCAAAATAAATATGATATTTAAAAATAACATTATAAATTAAATAATGCATAATCTAAGGATAACACCATGTTTAGTTTAATCCTAACATAATTATTAATTTCATTTAACATTACTTATAATTTAGGCCGTCGATTTTTGGTATATCAGATAGTCAGACATAACATAGAATCTGGCACGTGTACATCGGTTCAAGTTGTCACACTTCATTAATACATCAAGATGAAATTGTCAACGCAAATCCCGTAGTAGTAGATATAATAGTAGTATTAGTGGTAGCATAAAGGTTAAGCATAGAAGATACGATTCGAAAAGTTAAAATGTGGTCTCTGGTGAGACCACAGACCTGATTAATTATCTTGTGTTGTTGTTATTGTTACGGTTTTGATTATGATTGTATGGCTAAAGTTTTCCCGACCGTTGTTGCTACCTTGACGTGGTGGTCGGGCTTGCCTATCGTGATGAAGCAACCGAGCTATACTGGCTGGAACAACCGTTCCTCAAGGTCCTACCATGTCAGACAGGTCGGTTGAAAAGCGGTAAGACTAAAAGCCTTAAACCCAAGGTCCGAAGGCGAAGTCGTACTGCTGACTGTACAGAGATGTGACGGCAGTAAGGTGTTTCCTTCAGACAACCAGCATGACAGCGATGCTGCCTTCCACAAGGAGGGGTTGGGTTAGAAAAGGTCGACCCTAAAAGCGCACACCTTGTCTTATACCACTGATATCCGTCTCCGGCATTAAGGTCTCAACAAGTACGGAGCTAACACAAAGATTACCCATGAAAAAATCGTGTGTGACTGACCTCAAGCAGTTGTCCCTTGGGCACTGCGGTCACGCTCTCAGGTCACTAAGACCACCTTTAATCCAATTTCCTTTTCAGACACCTCCAGAAGAACCCTTCCAAGGTGTGGGCGACCGGGAAGTGAGAAACTGCTCTCATACCTCTAACAGCACTCAGGACTGACTGACTGACTAAAGATTATTTGTTCTTTCATCCACAACATCATTTGCAACTGTAAGGAGTTTTTACTAGTTCTGCTATTGGACTGTTCTTCATTACTTACTAGGTAGTTTATGGTAGGGTATTCCCTTTATATTTCCATTTGAGTTCATGAATAATGACATATTCGTACCTCATTTTTCCAAAGGGTAGATAAGAAGAGAATTGCATCGACTACTATGATGTCTCTGTTTGAGTTTTACCATTTGGTATCTCGGTAAAAGTGTTTTCTTAAAAGCTCATAAGATAAATTGTAGTAAATAAGCATAGTTAATCAGTTAAAAGACATTGAAAGCAAAATAAATCATTGCGATGGTTGGAAAACAGGTAATTCAAAGATCTAGATAAGCTAAAATTGTGTAAATATATGGGTATAGATGAATTTTTCATCGCTGTAAAAACAAAAAATCCATTCAATCTTTATTTGCACCTATTACTTCTTTGTTCTAAGTAATAGTAAATTCTCTGGCTATCGATGGATTGATTTTCAAGTGTTACCGTTGCTTATAAAAAGTACAAACTAATGTAATTCTTTTCACCATAGATTTTGGGTCATTCTTTAAAATCGTTTCTGTAAACGCCTCATTATTGTTAACGTATACTTTTTCATTTCCTTTTCTTATCGTTAAATACATTCGTCCATTTGTTTCCGAATTTTTTATGCAGATTTTATTGACATCGTAAAAGATCCAATTACTGGAAGTGATTATAGACCAGAAGAAGATCCTAGTATTTATGTATCAGAAGCAACTGGTCGTGGTCCATTGTCACCTAATTGGCGTGAGGAATTTATTCATGCTCAACAAGTGACTCATGAAACTTATGAAAAACCACCAACTCGAACTCATGATAATTCACCAGCTATTGTTGAAAATCTGAGGCCACTGCATAAACGTATTATGTGTGCATATAAACTTTGTCGAGTAGAGTTTCGTTATTGGGGTACACAAACACGAGTGGAACAGTTTATCCACGACACTGGTATGTAACACCTTTACGTTTAAAGGTTAAATGATTTATGCTTCATGTTGTCTACTCAATTTGATAATTATTTATACACTATTTAACAAATATATGTGAATCTCAGTAATCATTATTATTTGTAAAATAATCCAGAATAACTTTGGCCAATATGATTCGTGGATAAAAAACAGATCCAATGCAAGTCGGTATTATTTCTTCTCCTATTCATTTTCCAAATAAAAGTTTGTATACTCGAATTTGAGCCACAGTATTTTTGTTTTAGAAATAGTGATACTATTAGACCTCTTCAACTGAAGTGTGGTTGAAACCTTCAATCTGTTGGTTGGAAACGAAGTCCTTTTTATTGTTAGATTATCGTATACTACTCGGTCTGGAGAAGTGTTTCGAGTATTTTTCACTGTTTTAGAATCTCTAATAATTTGTTTGGGTTTGTTTTAAAGTGGTACTATATGTGCTTAAAGTATGGTTCGTTTTATATGTATATCAACTTTGCAAAACTTGTGCTGAAATCATCGGGGTTGTTAGTATGTTTCTGTCACTAAAAACTATCAATATGAGGCGATGAGTTCTGTTCATTGATCTGCTGTCTTACAAACAATTTTGCTAATTTTCAGAAATAAAAACTATTCTCTAATTAGTTCCTATTAAAGATATAATGCTAACGTTTTAAGAACTGAGATCGAACAAATACGTTTCACAACTATATTGTGATAAAAGGAAATTAACTATCTCATTATTTCTTTGAAGCTTACTAAATAGGAAGTTTATCACTTCCATAACTTGTATTGTGTGGCAGTCCAAATGAACTCGCTCTTTCGGGTGTATGTAACTTTCTAGTGTTGTCACTTCTAAGCATGCTACTACACCTGTATAACGTTTCACCTTATTAATTCATCTGAAATATCCTTTTTCGAAGTTCTACCATGTTATAAAGGTCGATTGGGATGTGGTCAAACCAATTTCTACCAATTTCATAGAGTAAAATACCAAACAATCATTTCAAACTTGAGATTTACTGTTTAGTTTGTCTGATTGTAACTTCAGAAATCTGTTCTCAACAGTAAGACAGTTTTTATGGCAAATTTGTTTGTCTTCAAAAACAATTATAAAATCCTCTTTGAAAGGTGGTTTTCAAAGTATGAACTCTGTCTTTTGAAACTTTATCAGTTATTAGTTGCTATCAAAAGGATAATTTTTCCTAAACATTTAATAAAGCGAACTGTAATAATAATTTATTAAACTGTTGTAATTTTCGGAATCGTATTGAATATTTCTCCATTTGCCACCGAATTGAGAGGTGTAGACTTCACATTCATTACAGTCGTATTGAACTGGTGTTTCAGTTTAGCCTAAATAATTTACTCATTGTCATCGTACTAGAATATTTTAAGATATTTTGCCTGGAAAGAACATGCACCATCGTCCCAATTAGTATGTACTGCTTATTTATCATCTGATTTTAAATATGATCGTTAGAAGTCGGTCAGTGCTAAAGACTACATAGATACGACAGTAACTGTTCATTGGCGGATTGGTTGCAAATATCTTGGTCAGGACGCTAATAACTCAGCATTATTAAAATCTTTGTCTATAACACTTGATAACGCGAGCTCAAATCTCATGGCAAGTGTTAGTTCCCAGTATATTGCAGATACGCTTTGCTAATTTGTGCCAATTATCACAAAACCTTGATCGAAGGTTTACTGCTCGTGGTTTCCAACCGTCTAACACCAGAATATTGCACGTGAAGTCGAGTCACTTTGATTGTTATTCACTTTTACTGGAATTCGCTGAAAATTAAGGGCTAGAAAAACGTATTTTTGATTAGTATTCGATGATCAGTTTATAATATTTATATATTTGACTTTCTTACAATAGGATTATAATGAATACTACAGAATGCTTTGTCTTCTTCTAAAACACACAATTACTTGAAATTTTATCCCTTTATTTTAGCACTTCGAAAAACTATGCTAAGAGCACATCGACAAGTATGGGCGTGGCAAAATGAATGGTATGGTCTTACAATAGAGGAAATTCGTCGTTTAGAAGAGGAAACAGCTCAAGCATTAGCGTCCAAAATGGCTGATTCCAACCAACCGCCAAATAATGACGGCGAGTTATCTAAGCAAGTTCAATCAACAACATCAAACATCAATGAAACTATGAATGCTATTGAAATGAAATGTAATCAGTCTGATGAAGTTAGTTTAAGTTTACATTAACTAGTTTTGGATTAATAGTCAGCTGACTTATACGATACATTATTTTTTTTCTCGAAATCTTTACATTTTCATTTCTGAAGCTTATAAAAGCCTTAATTTACATACCGTTGAACATTTAAATGAATTCATAGAAAATGTACACTTCTTGTCTGCGAATTGACTGATTTATTTTATCAGCTTATGGGTCAGGCGTTTTCTACAGAACGTTCAACGAATATATAAGTGCATCGCGCACGAAATCACTGTTAGTATCATTGTAAACACCATAATCAGACTAGATTACCACTCTTGTACAGAAAATGAATACACTCTGTGTACAGACCATTTACTTACGTTTGAGAGAACACACTCAACATTTAACTAGGTGTCGGTCTCTTGAAAGACCTCACCTTAACTCACTTAGTTCCAATCGATCACCAGCTTCCTGTTGCAGCGAAGTCTGGCAATCCAATCTGATGTTGTTTTTCACCTTGCAACTAAATGAAGAAACATCTTTTCAACATCCAGGTTGGCAACCACAGATGACTGTTATCACCGGACAGAACTACTGACGCAAATCAACGATTGATGACTTGTCTATATCCACATTCTTGTCATCAACAGCTAGGGTCTGGTGAAGATTCTTCAACAAACGTCTAAGACGGTAGGTAAAATGAATAACTATCTACTTGAGAATTTTCCAGACCACTAATTACACGGTTTTCAGCTTGTGATAGAGTATTGTTGTCTAGCTGAACCTTAGCTGATAAATTATCTATAACTTACTAATATAAATGTGAGGTGACTTACGAGTCCTTGTTTTAAAATGTCATATAAATTACCTGGGGCTGGTTTCGTAATTCTCACACTTGCTCCACTAATTTATCCGGCGACAACGAACTAGCATACATAATCGTCACTCTCTGATTAGTAAAATACTTTTTAAGCATACACACCATAGTATTAGGTCTCTGTCTATAAAGCAGGTGCAAATAAAGAGATGGCACCCACTAACTCCGATTTAGAAAAGGCGGGCAAAAAATATCTTGCGACTTGTGTTGATAAATGTTATTGTAATTTCAAAGTGTAAAATAGCGGATTAGATCTGAAAATAGTTCCGAAAATGTTAATTTTGGTGCAACTATAAATTATAACCCAAAAGTTTCCTGGGCAGCGTTTCTGATATTCTTTCCATCAGGTTCACTGTTTTATTGAGGTTGCCTCCCAATAAAATCGAACTTCAAAGATAAATCTTCCCATGTTACTTTGTACGACTTGATGACCGTACTGTTAGCAGTGTGAAACGAAAAGTCGAAATGCACAGAGTTGTAAAACAATATATTTGGAGTGAATTATAGAAACATACTAGACATAAACAACCTCTTAGTGTTCAAACAAAGATGGAAGTATATCGCCACTAAATTTGCACACAAACAACACAAGTATACATTTTTCACGAGTTTACTCATACGTTTCAAGGTATCCAAAGTATGTCTGCTACACAGTAAATACTCTAGGTTTAATTCACTAATAGTTTTTGTATAAGATTATTTAAGTTTTCTGACAAAAGTTTAGTTTACTGAATAATTACACTAAAAGCCATGGATATGTCAAATCGTATCTAAAAAGTGTTAATTAGGAATCTTATCCAGATCTGTTGAATGTTAAACACGAAATGTTATTGATTGCATCGTTTGGCGCATTCCAAAATAAAATTAATCTCTTGTTCTTTGCAAAAACGATAGCCTGGTGGATTTTTACACAAATTTTGGGAGTTACATGCAGACACAGACTATAAAACTAGTTTTGTGTCATTTTTAAGCAGTTTACTCAAAGTTAAACTGATAAGATATGGCTACTATATCATTCTCAAACATGCAACCTGGAACAAATATTCGACTCACGTTGCCAAATCGTGTCAACACAAGTGAGACAGAGTAAATAAGATTGAGCCAATAATAATAGTTGCATCTATGAAAATAAAAAGAACTAAACAGGAAGAATGTGGTTCAAGGTGAATGAATTGGTTTGCAGAATTAAAGACCATGAAGTAAAATTATAATTCAATACTTATGGGTAGATGGAAAGAAGCGAACGGATCTACACAAATGTGTGATCAGTTTTGAATCATGTCGTTTGAGATTTCCAACCACTGATCAGGGTTACTACTCCAGTTGTTATGTTAGAGCTATATTCTCAAATATTGTGAATATATATACTGTACAATAGAGTATATACTTTATGAGATACCTTTCTCGGAAATTTATAGTTTCATGTTAGTTTTCAATTGATGATGTTATGTGTTGAAACGTATCCCGATTTGTACTTCCATCAATTACGCAACTCATAAATTAATATTTTTGTCAACCTATATAATTTCTAATCACTAAGTATACGGTTATGATCTCAGTCAGTCAGTCAGTAACAACGTAGAACTTCGTACGTACATATATCAGTTCGAGTTGCCATACCACATTAGCACAGAGATACAGTTGTCGATTCAAATCCCGTAGTGATAGGGTAGTAAGAGTATAAGCAGTAATCCGAAAGATTAGGGTTTGAAGATGTTATCTAAGGAGTATTATATAGTAAAATAAATTTGGAAAGAAAAAAAAAGGGATATGAAGAATTCAGAAGATAAGAATTCAGGAGAGCACAAAGAGTGGATGCATCTGCGCCATTGCAAACGATTTTGAGCCATTTCATTCAAGGTCTCTAACCATCGGTTGCTATCATCTCGCGGTCCCCAACCAGGTAGTCTAAACCTACCAACATGGCTCAATTGTGATCTATTTTTCCTGAAGTTGTTTAAGTAAAGTGTTCATGTTAGTCCTTACCGTTTACGAAATATAAAAATGTTCCTTTTATAGTGATATGTAATTTAAATTGAGTCGATTCATATATAAGCCAGCTTGTAAATTGTTTATGATTGACTATGACTGAGATGAAAATAATCACATACTTTCAACTATATTTATTCTACATTCTTCACTTTATTTCAACCTTTTAAATTGTTTTGTATATCTGAAATCGTTTTTTCTCTACAAAAGTATTGATTTTACGTTTTCATGGTTTTGTACTCCTGCTTTTTTTGTTTAAATTTTATTAGAAATGTGAATCCGAATCAAGCACAGCGACATCAGAAAAATTCCATCTTCCAGTTAATTCAACTGATATTTCAGGTGCGGATTTGTCTAAATGCTACTCGTCCAGTTAAAATTACGTAATCTGAATAGATATTATGTATAATGTGTTTTCCTCTTTTTTGTGTATGTATATATATGAATCTGTAGGTGTTATCACTCTTTTTATACTATTGTCACTGTTTTTATCTACAATCATTTCTGAGGAATCATATTTCAAGTATTGTTGGTGGTAAAGTTAGTTAAATATGTAGAAATAATCTGTATCAGAAAACCCCTGGAGATCAATAATATTAATGAATAAATAGGTATATTAAAACAAACTTCAGTGTAATTTAATCCTTATTCTGATCTTTTACGTGTCCTCATTTATTCATGTATACAAATCTGTATTTCATTAGTGGATATATCTTGTTAACTAATAGGAATATGAAACTTAGTTCATTTAAAAAAGTAGTAAGAATGGTAGCAAATAGAACCGAGGCATACATTCTAAAAAATTTTGATAAATTTATTTTACTACTAATTTTTCCTTTTTTTTTCACTTTATTTTTTACCTAATTCGTCTTTAATACTTTCTCAAGTTAAGTATAGTGTAGTACTTAGTTAGATAATTGATTATCTTCAGTTATTCACTTCTTTTTTCTTTTTTTCTAATTGTTTTCCTTACTACAATTTTAGCATGAAATTCTTCATATACTACTATTATAATATACTTTGTACTTATCTTTCTATTTTTCACTATTTATTTGTTATTACATCATATAAATATAACTAATATAATGCGGCTCAACTGAAAAAAATTTTTTTGATTTATACGTGTTATTGTTTACGTTTGAATAGCTTCAATGTGAAATATTTTAAGAGTTAACATAAAATGTTCTATTTTGTTGTGTGTAAAGTATTTGAAATAGAAGTTACGGTATTTTTGTGTGTATTTATCCATGGTATCTATAATTTAACTGTCATTTTGCTAATCTCTATGCTTTCCTAGATAGTTATGACGGTTAATGTTGTTTATAATTTAAGTTTGTTATATATATATATATATATATATATATATATATATATATATATATATATATATATATATATTCGTGTGTGTAATCAACTTTCAATATTAGTGTATAATATAGTCGTTTATTGGATATTGTTTTACTACCTCTACTGCTGTGTAATTTGCCTTGACAATTTCATCTCGTTGTGCTATTAGGTTATGGCAACTTGAACCGATGTACACATGTGCCAGATTCTATGTTGCGTTTGACTGATTGATTAACTACTGCTACAGAAATATTTTACTCGATATCCATACATTATTTTCTATGTCTACGGATAGTTTTTTTCCTAAGAATCATTTGATGGCTTTAAGTTCTCATCTTAACAATATTCCGACTGACATTGTAATCTGGTTATCACAAAAATAACTAGTAAGTTCTGTATGATTCACTCAGTTTCCAAATAAAATTCTGTATGTATTCGTTGATTTTGTACTATTTGTGTACACCGTACCTTGTTATCTTGTTCATAAAAGTACTCTAAAGCAAATTTTATGCTTAAATGATGAATTACCTTTTTTTAAAAGTTTCTACAGTAGTTAAGTACCATAAAGTTGTATCACTCTCTGATTGATATGTATGAACATAATCCGCTTTCGTTTAAATTTCGTGTTATTTTGGTATTACAGTAACTTGATTTTGATACCCTACTTAATCTTTCTACAAACAGTTCACACTATTTGTATATTGTCATTGAAATAGTTCTTGTCGATAATCTGTGTGTACAGTTTATTGTCATTTCTAATTATTAAGTTTAATGTGTTTTTAACTTACTGAGTAGGAGGCTATTCTCATACAGAAGAACGTAAAATCTAATGTTATATCGAGTGGTTATATGCTATCTAATTGTTCTTTGTAATGTACATTACAAATAATATACCTACCCATTTTTCAAATCAATTGTATTTGAGCACTTAAACGTGGTCAGTGACTTTATGTTTTAATATTTCATGTACCATTTAGTGTCATTATTTATTTTCTATAGTCGTATTACGACACAGCTTTTGTAAATTGAAGTGAGAAATCTTTCTGTTGTTGGTCTTATAGTTATTTCATCAATTACCAATATGGGTATTTTATCTAATTCACTATATTTATTTTTACTTTGTTTTTTCTCTCCACTACCAGGATGTTGGCATCTCACTTAATCTCAATTTACTAACTTGTTTCCTATTTTCATTGTTCTTTTAACTTATTCATATTAGATTACCACTGACTTATTTTTAAGCTTAAATGACACATATCTATGACTGAATATGATTTCATTCTCAATTTACAGTTTATAAAGACAATTCTTTGTTTTTTTACTGAAATGTCAAATTCATATGTATTTCTCAAGAAATATATTTAATTTATCTAATTCTTCGTATTTTGTCAGTTTTACTTTCTTACTAAGTGAACCATTCTTTCCATCGAAGAGTAGATCTTTGGAATACACACAACAGTCGAATTATTCACTGAAGTGTTTTCGTATTAACGCTGTTATATCAACGGTTTACGTACTTTCCTAAAAAATTGAATTATTCTAAATTAATTTGACTAGTAACATTTTAGTTTATTTTTTTAATACTGAATTTATATTTGTACTTTTATTTTTTGTTGTGGTGTGATTATTTATCCCGTTGTTATAATTCACGTCTTATGCATACACGTATACGTCTTTATTCTAACTGCCATTTAAAAGCTAGTTGAACGTTATGCTAATAGATATAGATCTGTATAAATAATATTGTATGTTTCTAAATGTATTGTATAATTATTTTGACTAACGGGAAAAGGATTAACTGTTTTGCTTTGTTTTTTCTTTCTTAAAATAACATTAGACACGTGTATATTTTATGGAAAACTGTGCTACATTGTTTCTTTTTGTTGGAATTTATAACAGCCTTTTTTATCTGGTTTAAAATTTAGTTGTATGCTTTTTAGATAAAATTTTATGTGTTCATTGACAGTGTATTCATCATTCTGTATACTGCACATTTTTACTCGAACATTCACTGTGTTTAATAGGTCTTATTTCATATGAATTGGATACTATTGATTTTACTGAAGACTATAAGGTAGTTTCAATCTAAAAAATCATACCAACTCAAGCCTTGCGATGATTTAATCAAGCAAGATTTTATAGATGAAAGATATTCAGAATCGAAAGGCATAACTATTCAGTTAATGCTGATTTTTGTTAATCAAATCCTTCTTATCATATTGGAACAGGAAATTCTGAAAAGTTTATTTTCAGTCTAATTCTCGGTGATAATCATGGTTTTATAATGTTTTGGAAGAATCTGTATAAGAAATAGAATCATACTATTTCATTTCACAGGTAGATTTTTTAAGAGTGATAATTTCATAAAAGTACAATCAATTTTTATTTCAATAGTAACCTTTTCTACACAGTATTTATATGGAACTGCATAATCTAACTTAAACTTGTGAAAAGTTAATTCGATTATTTAACATAACACTAATTATTAAACAAATCCATTCATATTAGATGGTGATTGAAAGCAATAGAATAACTGGTTTCCAAATACTAGTTCAAATATAATTGCAATCTAGCCATTATTATTATTATTATTATTATTATTATTATTATTATTATTATTATTATTAAATTCACCATTTACTCATGCAAAAATAAATCATTTGCTGATAACATATTGTTTTTGAGTCTTCTCACTTTTATTGTTATATGATAATTTTAACCATAAATCCAATAAAAAGAAACAGTCTCATAAATCTGAATTCGTCCTACTTATGTTATCCTGATAATTGATTTCAACGATAAATAATTTAATTATTAGTATTGTTTTACCTATTATATATATATATATATATATATATATATATATATATATATATCAGTGATCGTAATTCAACGTTTTAGATAATATAATGTTAATCGTTATTTTCTTCTTCGTGATATCTTTTAATTTATTTAGTAATTAGAATTTATTATCTAATGGAAAATTAATTTCAGTCATTTTATATTTGGTACATATTCATCATTATCTCATAATTTATACATATATTTATTCTCGGTACTATTATCATTCATAAAATTACAAATGAAAACATTTATATATGTATCATTAAGAATAAAATAAATGTCGTTAAAAAATTGAGGCTAATGTTAATACATTTTGTTGTTTCTAAACACGTTGCCATTTAATCTTTTCATTTCTCTTCATAGTTAACAATATTAATATTTATTTTCGTTATCAACTTCAAAAAGATATTTTATTTGAGTGAAACAGTAATATCAAAATTGACAAGTTTCTCAATTTTCTATTAAAGCAGTAATAATAGTAATAATTACTATTATCTTGTTTCTTTTTCAGAACAAAATTTATGGGCTGATTTTAAGAAATTAGAGGCGAATAATTTTGAACTTGATGATTTTGAACCTTTTACAGCACCGTGTGCAGGTATGTGTTACTTTATCGTATATATACATACCGTTTACCCTAGGATATGACAACTTGATTGTTCAAAACATTTAATATTGATACAAGTCTATACTTTGCTGTTCACTGTATTCAATGCACGTGCTGGGTAAACTATTTGAAATGAGTTCGTATTTTAGCATTTAAGTATTCTAAATAAAATGTTAAATAAAACACTAAAAGATGATTGAAAAGATAATAGAAAAATGATATAACATAAAAGGGATCAGAAACTATCATACCATTCAAGCCTTAGAATGGATTAATGATTAAGAAGATATATTCAAGGTGTACGAAACTTTTTCCGAAGACCGAAAATTTTTATTCAACGATTTAAAGACTGTTTTAAGGTCAATTATTATTGCTGCAAAACCGCTTATCATTAAAAAACTAACCTCCTTATTCCACATAGGTCTCGAAATTGCATATATTATTAAGTCACTTCTCATTACTTTCACCGATTCACATTTGTTTGAATACAAACATCGAGAGCAGTTTCCGAACAATGCAGTCATGTCTATTGAAATGTGTGCTTAAGTGACTTAGGAATTCATTGGTGTTATTTATTATGATAAATAAGTAGAGCGGAAGACTATACTCATCAATAGAAAAAATATCAATTAAACAGGTCATAGCTTGGTGTATTCTACTTACGTTGACGGATATATGTAGAATATAGCACCAATCGAAAGTGGAATGCATTCCAACAGAAGACTGAGACGATTCAATTGAAGAGCGTTGAAAGTAATCGTGGTAGACAGAATTGAAAGAATCATAAAGTATGTAAAGGACAACTGATGGAAGATATGTGAATAATGTATTTAATGTATGGTTTTCATATTTTGTAAAAGCACTCTAATTTTGTATCAAGCAATAATTGGCTTTTCGTACTTTATTGTTTCTTTACTACAATAGGACTGACCGTAAAACAGCTTTGTAAATTTACACATGAAAAATTTTAGGGGTTCATTCTAAAGTTTGTGAAAGCCTCGGTCATCAAAAAAATTCAAGCTTCCGTTTTATGAGTGGAAACAATTTTTCTTACCTTTAATTTGTTTTGCTAATCTTTAATCCACTTTAATGCCTCAGACAGTGTGATAATTGATTATTCTTTTCAGTTTGTCATCTCTCTCTGTGTGTGTTATATTTTTACCTATCACGTATTATTACTTCCACATTTTATTTAATTCAACCTTATTTTGGACAGTATCTAAGTATCTTGATAAATAAACATGTGGTCAGATTGTTCGAAATATTTTTTCTAAGGGAGGGGTACGCATTTCATTTTTCAAATGGACTCAGTACGCTTTGGAAATTTATTAGAGATATCAATGGTTTTAAGGTTTGCTAAAATGCTCCGAGTTTTTGGGACTTCCGTTACAAACAGCTGTCCTCGAGAAAACTAAGTCATTTCAATGATGATAATTTTTTAGATTTAAACTAGTAATTTATAATCTGTAAAATTAACTAGAAAGAGAACAAAAGTATTTCCAGCTGGGATGCAAGGAGATTATTTGGATAGATCGCGTATATTCTGTGTCGCAAGTCTTAATTCTTGTATTCTAACATAATCATTTCTGTTTCGTGTCCATTATAATATAGAGCTAAGGTTTTGAAATTCCTAAATCTTTTTTAGGTATAATAAGCAGTCCTGTAGTACTGTTTACTTTGACGAAGTTCTTTAACTGATATCAGTTTACGAAAACAAAAAATAACTTAAAAATTCTTCGTGATTGTACAATGATTATCATTGTCATTAAATTGTTTTGTGTTAGATATGTTTTAAACTACCAATTATAAAGTTTCTATATTATCTTTTCTTTTACAGAATCCGATGATGATGCTAGGTCATTTGTTACATGTTGTAGCGATCTTACTGGGAATACTGATTATGCTACCCCTCTTGCGTCAAATTTTCAGAGTTTTGATATTCCAGGAATAAAATCTTGTAAGCTTCATTTTTAAAATCATGGTTTCATAATACATAGGACGCATAGACTGGTTGGAAATTAGTCTCGGTAGTTTCTGTACATTCATGTGGCAGATAGTGAATCATTTTATTTAGTACGTACCTGTTCAGTTTACCTCTATAGTTGATGGTCGTACTGCAAAAGCTACTTTTGAAAAATCAAACTTAAGTAATGTCAACAAAGGTGCAATCAGCCAGGAAACCAAGTTTCATGTTTTGTTTAATGTTTTTGAGTCAAATAGCAAGAAATTGTTAATCAGAGTTTCCTATTTAAGTAAGCTAATATTCTTTATAATTGATTGATAACTGGAGTATGATCAACGTCGTGTCAGGTCCTCTTTAGTGCAGATGTTACCACTAGTCTAGGAGACTCGAAATCGCGTGCACTATGTTGAGATGAGATGGTGGTATTTCACTCTGTACTTCATTGTAACAAATTACAAGTTTATCATTCATATCACATTTTTTTGTTAAGTTAAATTGTACAAGAAGCATTAGAGAATAGTTTGATTACGAAATTGATTGTGAGAAGTATGTAGTTTGAGTAAAATTAAACTTTTCGATGAAACAGAATGATTAGTTTATATATTTTCTTCCCCTTTTACTTTTCTCGTGAATAGGCTTTAACCAAAAACCTGTCTCTAGTATTCAACAAAATTGTGGTAAACTAGTCCTTATATTAGTGATTCATGGTGGTAAGTGTTTCTTTTTTTTAAAAAAAATAACCTGATCAAGTCTACTTACTGTAAGAGAATTACAGAGGTTGTTCGATATGTAATTTACGTCAGGAACTGACTTTACCTGTAAAACCACAGAAGACCGAAGTTCATTTAACTAATATTTCGCCGTTATCAACTATTGTAATACAACTGATCAAACTTTAAGACTTTTGCCAAAACTCCTCTCTTTAAAGTTCATAAGTATCAGTTGTGTTTGTTTGTTTCGTGACTAAACTTCTTTCTGTATTTTGTGATGCTACTGTCTAGTTCATGAAAACCTCAAGGTAAGACCACCCAACTGAAAGAACGCAACTTCGATAAAATTGTTCTGTTGAGCTACAGGCCTTTACCATGTCAAAATAAATTATGCATTCATCATTACGCCATGTATAAATCTCATAGTTTACTCATTTATATTACGTTATTATTATTATTATTATTATTATTATTATTATTATTAATGGCTTTATTCAATATTATATTTTGGTACAATCTAGTTGTCGACCACTTAATTGTTTCACTAGTATAAATGTATTGTAGTTACCGTTTACTTCCTGCATATTTTATTTGTGAAACACTCACTAATAGTGAAACATTTGCATTGCATATGAGTCCTTGCTTATAGTATTTATCATCTATATTTTTTGATACTATCGGATTGAAAGGAAAACTTCTCCAAACAACACATCTTACGTCCTTTCTTTTTACTGTGTTGTCTTTTTAAAAAATCTATTCAGGTTGTATACTTGATTCAACTTACGATTTAACTACAAAACGTTCCGATATTTTAACTTTTCGAAAAACAATCGAAACAGTAACAGCTAATCACTATCCAACATTACATAATCGAATAGCTGTAAAACTTGTACCATGCCCTACAGAAATCGGCGATATATTCCGATTATTCTCCAAGTGAGTTTGTCTTTTTCTTCAGTTATTTTTTCTTTATTTTCTGTAGTTCAATTAAAACAGGACACTAAATATTGTCAATGCAATTGGCTATTTATTTCTATAAATAATTTGGTTGTTTTTTTTGTTTATTTATTTCTTCGTAAGATTGAAAGCTTCACCAGATCCTACTAGGCCAATTGAAACTCAATTGCTACGTGATTTAATGCCTTTGGGGAGTATTCCTTTATTTTTAATTAATTCATCTGGATATTCGCGAGTAAGTATGATTTTAACCTCTTATTTGTGATTTAATGTTGTATATATATCTTTTTTCCATGGTACTTGCTGGTTTTCTTCATCTACAGTCGGAAAATTCCCACTGTTCTTTTCCCAACACGATAATTTGTTGGGTAATCAAGAAAGCATACCATTACACAGTTGGTCTGAACCAAGTTTATTAATTATGCCAAAACACGTCAAATGTATATGTTTTAGTGAATAAATAGGTTCATCCTAGAAATTTATTGTCATTAGAGCATAATATATAACGCGTTGGACATCTAAAGCAGAAGATATTGGGTTTTATCCCAGTGTGAACATCAACATCGGGACGCAAGTGCATTCAACTGAGGAGTTCGCAATGGCGTAAGATGTGCGTCTTGCATTCCACTGCAAGTCACAATTTATCTATTGTAAAAACCTTGTGACATAATAGGGATGTTGATACATTTGTTGTCCAAAGCAAATATGTCAATAATGCTTGATTAAGATTCAGTCCTAAATGTTGACTTTAGTATTGTTCAAACCCATAATAAAGATATAAACGGAGTTGTTAGTTTAATATTTCAATCGCCAAGATATGAGAATTATAAGTTTTCTTTGACTACCTAGTAATTTATGATTGCCGTTGCGATCTTAGCTAAGACAACCCCTTCAAATACAGTAGACTGTGTTAGTGGTTACTTGATCAACCATGACATGCATCAGTAAACGATTCCATTCACAGTCTGCACCTATTACGTTAGTCTTCAGTATGTTTGATCTCCAGATAATCCAATTAGAACTAAACATCGAAACCAGATAGTGATATGACGGAATAAGAAAGTGACTGACTGACTTGTTCAGTATGACAATTGTATTCCCTATATCATTTCAAATAAACTATATTAGTGTATGTTTTTACAGTAATCCTATATATTTCCTCTTATATATGTTTTTATAAAGTGCGTAAAAATTAGTATATAAATAATTTTGTCTCAGTTTAATGACTGTGAATTTGGACCTGACTTTGGGACTTGGTTGGGGAAGTGTTTTTGAGGAGTCAATAAATTTTCATCCCGATAGTCTTTTATTTTCTCACTTCGTCTTACGGGAATTGCAGTGGTTTCCCGATTATTGAGTATGGTCAATAAGACCGCAAACCCTACATAGTCGAAACTTACATTGGGGGTGGCGCAGATTTAACAGATAGTTTTATTGAAGTGTGTCACTTAAACTTTTTCAATCATTTTACAATGAATGCTACTAATTTTTTTCGAAAACACTTCGTGTTTGTGAACTATAATCATCTTAAGCATTAGTTGTAGGTACAAATTTCAACTGTATGTTTTTAAGTATATTATATGACATACAAAGTGATTAACTTATATTTATTTTTAAGAAAAGAAACAAAACAATATTCATCTGTTGAAATTTGTATAATTTACAAACATTCCTGTTTATTGACACCTTGATATTGCATCTTAAGCAGAGATGGATAGTGGTTAGCAGTGGAATTCAAGACTCATGTCTCAACCTATTTGTGACTCGTCAGTCGGATGTACATACATTCCAGAGGTGATGTTCACTCTAAGACCGGTACCGAGTATCGTTCACTCCGAACACTATCGAGATATTCACCGAGCTACTGAGTTCAGTTAGTCACTGATTTGTCCAATAGAGTGGATTTTAATTCATTTTTATTGGTTGTTTTAAACTTCCCACTGATGTTTAGGACTATATTTAATCAGTTTCTTAGTAGAAATATCGGGACAATTCTCACAGGATGCACATATGTCAAAAGAGACTGACCGATTACAATCTTAAACATCATTGAGAAGCTTCAAACAATCGACTCATACGAATTCATGTTACATCGTTTTCCAGTTTCTATTATGTAACAAACCTATTATTTGTTTCCTTCTATGCTAAACGTCAACCCCACAAAGCTCTACTTTCATATTATGTACATAGTTGTTATCTTCTGTCATATGTTTAACTTTATAAGAGAGAAATAATTTTGGAAATAAGATCAAAATTCTAGCGTGAATAGCCTGGTTGAAACTATCCCACGATTATGTTTGAATATTTTTTTTTATTGTAAAAAACGATGAGGTGGTACTTAACTCCATTTTATATGATTTGTAATTTAGCGCTCATTTCGTACGAAATGCTTTCTTCACTGATGTGTATCAATCATTAAGAATATTTAAAATTTCAAGTTGCGTTTGTTGTTATTAGTAAAATTCAGACTATTCATCCAATATAATGCTAACAATAATCAAAATTATTCAGACGGCTAAATAAATTGATACACATTATTGAAAAATTGTTTCTAACTTGATTGAATAATTGAAGAAGAAAAAACAATAATCCGCTGATATAGACGAAGCCCAACAGGATATGTCAATTTAATTGGCTTCACTTTGTAAACATAAAAACGTAAGAAAGCAAGTATTTAGAATATAGGATTAAAATGATGTGATGAGGACGAGATAATAGAAGAATCTAGTGCAATGCAAATATAAACTGTTTTTTCTGTTATCTGACTGACTTCATGCAGGATATGCCAAATTCACCACACAGTTTAGATCAATAACCTTTATTTTTATACGTTAGTTTATTCTGATTACTTTCGCCCCTGTACATCAATATTACCTCAAGCAATTCCAATCGCTTATGTTAGCTAACTGTTCAATCGAATATTGCTATATTATTTTAAGTCATTTTTTTCCTGTAAGTTCTCTGTTTATTAATATAATCATTTATCTGCCCTACTTTGAAACTGTAATCATATTCATGCCACGTCCTATATCTTCTCTGACAGACCGACTTTTTGTTTAATTGATGGGTTGAAATTATTAATGATCAAATTTCTATAGGTCTGTACTGTGTACTTACAATCATTTAGTCTAACTTATCCACAGTGGAATAGTAAGTCGCACAGTATTTGACATTAACTACTTGCTCATTGTTATTTTTCCTGCCTTTACTAAATAATATATAAGTGGAAATTACTCTTGGTAATAAATCTTACATGTTCACTCGTTATCTACATTGTTCACCTTTTCATCTGTCTATATTGATAACAACATTATTTAGCAAGTATCATTCAGTTGTTTTATGCATTTGTATTGTTAAATTAAATTTCATAAGAAGACAGATAAACACTGACGGTCAAATACTATTGTGTTATAAAAATTAAATTAACATTTCAAAGGTTGTAAATTTTCATAACATTACTTATTACATCCGATAAAAATTCGTTGTTTTTTCTTTCTTCTTTAGTTTCTGATGTTTTTTTTCCATTTCTTACGTCTGACCATTATGATGAACCATTGGTTTATTGTTTGGTTCTTTTTTCTTTTTGATCATTCGCATATTTTTCATGTATTATATACATGTAAATATATATGTTCATTGTTTTAATCACTACCTAAGATATTTCGTGCACTGATTTACTTAAGTTAAATTTCAAATGATAATGTCAGTATAAAATGTACATGAAATTGTGATACAATAGAATAAATGTACATTGCTGAATATTTTTTAAAACCTTCTGTTATCTGTTTCTTAAGTGAAAACCTTGTTTAAATTATGCACACACAAATACAAATAATATTTATACAGATTGTTTCCATTGTGAAATTTTGTTTATGATTATTTAAATGTTTAGAATTGAAACGACTGAATTTCTATTCAAATTGTTCAGAAATCAAATTAACACTTCTTGTACACTGTCTGCTTTTATTGATGGTAAAATAGAAATGATTCCGATCTTAGTGTAGATATTGAATGTACAATTGATTCATTACTGAGGAGTAGTGATCAGTGTCATTTTAATTTAATCTTTTAATGCTGATTAAGTTTTAATGACCAAGCTGCAGCTGCCACTAGTCTAAGTGACACAACATCGCCTGTACTATGTTCAAATGTTAGGTGGTTGAAGTTAGTCGACAACATTGAAATCCCACAAGAAGCACCAGTTCTCTCAAAGCTAACATGTACGCTTTGCTAATGAGTATTAACTACCACGAAACCCCAGGCCAAGGGTATACCGTCAACTGCCTGGAACCACTTAACAAATATTGACTACTGAATATCAATTTCTGCAAAACTTTATAAGGATGAACTGTATGTCTAACATCCTTATTTGATTATTTTCGATAACTAATTGGCGTAAAACACATTATTATTACTCGGTGTTGTTGAGATTCTTTCCATCTTTACTTTTCACTCTAGTATTAGTCTATAAAACACTTCAGATGTTTGATTAGATTTTGGTTAGGCAAATTTTCGGGCATTAATAACTGTTAACAAATGAGTCTTATACTGTATCGTTTATGTTAGCTAACTATTCAATCGAATATTGCTATATTATTTTAAGTCATTTTTTCCCTGTAAGTTCTCTGTTTATTAATATAATCATTGATCTGCCTTAGTACTAACCTAAATCTTTAATTCACTATTTGTAATCATTCTTAATTCCCTGTCATGTTTATTTTCAATACTGAATTAATCATTCTGTCTTTTTGAACGTATAACATCCTTGAATGCATGTCTTGATACAATCAAAGTTTTTACCAGTTGGTTAACAATGTAGATAGTAACCACTAGTAATTAAGATCTAGAATAAAGGACACGTTCTATTTATGTCTAATAACTTGTATTTAAATTATTAAATTAGTCTTGAACAAAAATTTATGTCTATGAAATGAATAAATAAAATTAAACGGCTAGACTATAATTTATGGACGAGCCAATCAGATTTAGGATTACTTACGCCTGATACTCCTCATGGAACATAGGCCGCCGACCAGCATTCTCCAATCCACTCTGTCCTGGGCCTTCTTTTCTAGTTCCGTCCAATTCTTGTTCATTTTTCTCATGTCTATCTCCATTTCCCGGCGTAATGTGTTCTTTGGTCTTCTTGTTTTCCTTTGGCCTTGATGATTCTATGTGAGGGGTTGTCTTGTGACGCAATTGGGTATCAGGTTTTAAATATTGGCGCGAAATTCATCCACCCATTTGACTAAATAGCTAATGTCAGTTTGCGATATAAACCATAAATCGAATTCCTAACTTTAACCATCAACTATAAATCACAATCCTAATTCTTCACACTGATTTATAGCCCTCATTTAGTCCCAGTTAGTAGGTGGACATTCTCAAGTTCACTTTAGCATCACTGAAATGTCGCCCATAAATTATAATCTCACCAATTAAACATTTACAGATCTAATACACCTTACTTAAAAAGATTGAACTAACGTAACAAAATAAGACCGTCAAATAACAAAGGAATTTAACATATACCAATAAATTGTACAAAAATGAAATAAGATTATTAGTTCAATGGAAATGATAAAAAACGCATGCAAATGTTCTATTTCAATTTATCATATGTTTTAAAGCGATATTTTTAAAATTAAAAAAAAAACTAACTTTTTAGGATTCTAAAAAATTTTTCTCAGCGTGTTTTAGTTGATTTTGAAAAATCACCGTTTATATTATCGATTTAATCAGATGACTTAACTTACCAAAAAGCATTTAATTGACTCAGAAATAATTAAAAAAATACAGTTTATGTTTACCCCTTTGTTTCATATATTATAGACTCTTAAGTTTTTTTCTTTTGAAAAAAATTGATTTTTCTTTTATTCATCTTTAATTTGATCTACTGTTATTGATTTATAGTGTTGATGAGAGAAAATCATACTTTGTTTGATAGAATAGAAAGTAGAACCTTTCTCTCTTTGTCCGTGTATGTATGTGTATAACATCATCATGGAGAAAATGACAGATACGGTGGAAAATTCTATCAGTACCAATAGCTATCATTTATTCATATCATTTTTGATTTAATGTAACAGTAAAGAGTTATTATCGAAAAGAACTAGTCATTAGTTTAATAAATGAGTTCATGAATCATTTGAAGCGAGATCACCATGAAAAACCTGGAAGCACTGAACGGCCGTTTCTTCCTAGTGTAGGACTGAGCAGTGCGCATCCACTATCCCACCCCGCGAGATTCGAACCCAGGACTCATTAATTGCGAGTACGTCTTGTATTACAATATGAATGGTTTTATCAACCGTGTTAAGGTATGAAATTAAAAGAATGATGGCAAACAGTTGTATTGACCTTGAACTTATTTAAGCTTGTGAATGGAGAATGAGCTTTATTCTAGGTTGACCTGTATAACCTTGAATTGTATTGATTCATATCAAGGAATTCTTGTTTATGCAAAGTTAAAAAATTCCGATATTATGTATTTGTTTATCAACCTACTTAATTGAGCTCCAGTCGGTTAACAAGAAGGTTTCTTTAAATCAGATACTAAATAAAATTACAAATAACCATAAGTTACCACCTGATAGCTACTCGATATACTGCTTAAGTTTTTTGTCAACGTTGTGTCCTCCATTTTTCCGTGTTTTCATGTTACATATTCCCCATATTTGTTAACCAATTTGTGAATGCGTTTGTGTGTTTTATAAGCAACATAAACACATATGCAGATAACAATAACGAGATGAAATTAAGAAAAATGTCAAAGTGATGGAATTAGTAACAGTTTCAGTGGTTATTGAAAATATTAGATATAGATCACGTGATTTGAGAAGAAAGTATTAATTTGCGGAATAAAAATTCTAAGATAATTTTGAACTAATGATCTGAGGGAAGACAACTAGTGAATACACCTGTATCACTCCAAGCGATTATGAGCCGTGTTACCTAAAGTCTTCAACCATTAGTAACGACAGTCTAGAGGATCTAGCAGTTTTGATTTACCTACACAGCTCGGTCTAGTAGCCTATATTTGAATGGATTGATGCCACGGCTTCGGCAAATTTATAAGACCAAGAACTATGGATAGTGTTGGTAAGTATTGGTGAAACCACCAAACTATTATCACAATACGGTAAAGATACAATCCAATGAACGTAATATAACCACATATAAGTCTGTAATGCTGAGCATACTATGTAACTGATTATCGATATGACTGGATTGTTGACAATGTAATTGGTGTACTGCCTTACATTGAAATATAACTCTAACGTTTGGTATATTAAAACAGAACATTTACATACGTCTTTTTATCATTTCAACTGAAATAATAAGTTTATTTACTTTCTGTACAATTCTTTTTATACGTTCAATCCCTTCATCCTTCGACAGTTTTACCGTGTTATTTTATTCTTTTTACATAATGTGTGTTCAGTGTTGAGGACACTGTCTTCATTTTTGTACGGTATCATTATCACTTAACTTTCTACCCTGAAAAGTTGGTAAACGCGGGAGAGAAACTCTATGACCTATGTTTATGTTGATACCTCTTACTGATTACGGAATGTAAATGAGCTGATAAAATTACGGATATTTCTTAGTGTTATCAAGACGTCAATAATATGTCTAGGTACTAAAGACATAATATATAGAAAATGTTGAACATTAAAGCAAATTCACCATCAGGAAAGAATACTTTTTGCCATTCCGTTTCAATTAATTTTTTTTGTGACTGAAATTTATTATATAATGTTTCAGTAGTAATGAATGTAGACTATCCTGATTTATCTTTTGATTACATGTAAATCAAACTGAAATGGTTGTCTGTCGCTTCTAAATTTTTGTTACTCTCTCAACTCTTCAGGCAGTATTAATTCAAAACAAAAGTTTATCAGAGTACAAAAGATATACAAATTACTGAAGAGCAGAAAAGTAACCATGAAGTAATTGTCAGTTCGTAATACATTCTAGCAAGCTGTTATGTATTTTGGCAAATTGATGTAAAAAGCCATATGTATATGTAGATTTACATGAAAAAAACTACTAGTTTATTTGCCAAATTTTATATTCAATATAAACATATTTCTGCAACTAAATTTACCAGTGTTATTAATCAAGTGGTTGATAGGAGATTTGGATAGCTTGGCGGAAGGTTGACCAATTGAAAATCAAGGAGGACTGGAAGTTTGTTTTGTCCTATTTAAGAACTCCATGCTATCTTGTCGTCGGTTTCGTGAATGGGTTCTAACTTATTAAGTGTAAACATTTTGAAGTGGAAGGTTTTAACAGTACTGAATTTGCGCTAAGAAACACTACATCTTGGACCGATTTTTGTTTATCATCTATTGAGAAGCGAAAATCACTGAACAGTCGTTTTGTGCTAGTATGAAAATACTTTACCAGAGCATAATTTCAAACTTAGCGATTTCTAGTTTGTTTTAATTTTATAAGATTTATAAACTAGATGTTATTGTTCTGTAAACTAACTATTTGGAATAGAAAATTGACTAATATTTAAAAAACTAAGCAACAATAGATAGTATTGAACAGATAGTCTAGACCATGAAGTTACAGTTCAAAGAAATTGTAGATTTGCTCATTTTATATATAATGCTGAATTTAATACCTGTACATTTCGCTCATTTATTCTTCTACTATAGTATTGATTTTTTACCAGTTAGTTTCTTATTGATCAGTTCGTACCGCTATCTAGAAATACGGATGCTTTTCCGTTTGGTTTTCCTATTTGTATTTAAATAAAACTTTTATATATGCATAAAATTGTAAGCACATTATATATATTTTTCAACTATTAAATATGTTTTCTACAGATGTTGGAACAATTATCATTTAATTTGAACTCTCATTATGCTGAGTTTTTACGTTCTCCTGAAGGAATTCACTTTTCTGGCAAAGTTTGTATAGTTGCTGACAGTGTTGGTTCAATTTTGGCTCATGATCTTTTAACAAAACCTACTAATCATGAGTCAGCATCGAATAATAATGATACAAGTATGACAGATATTGGATTAATGCGTCGTAAACAATTTGGTATTCATAGTTTAATACAGTCGGATAAACAAATCAAAACCCCAACTTTAATAAACAGCCCCAGTGAAGTCACTTTATGCCCAGTAAGTTTTTCTAGGTGAGTATTGTTCAAATAAGTAATTCAGAAATAGTGGGGTGTTTTCTCATAAATACACCGGCTTTTTGTTTTTAACGATAGACATGATCATCTTTCGTACATGTGTATGGTTTGATGATCCTTTTATCTTCATGGGATTAGTTCCTTTATCTAATTTGAATCAAGTGGGAATAACAGACAATTGAAACAGAATATTATGTGAGATAATCGTATTTCGTTAATTTTCTCATGGTTTTTTGTACAGATTAGTTCATTTTAAAAGATAATATAATATTGGAAAATAGACAATGATGACTTTCAGTAGCTGAAATGACATACGTGTTAAATGGCATAATACGGAAATAACTCAAGGCTTGAAAATCAATCAAATGGATTGTGTAACATTTAATGAAAATGGAAATACACAGATTATAAGAATTGGATCTGGGCTTATCGCACAAATCGCTTTTGAGGTAAATGAGGTAACAAATAATCAATGAAAGGTGACTAATTGTTACACACTGGCTAATGTTAAACAGTTTTAGAAAGTTTATTACATTGGATGATGATCGTGTCATACTGTAAATCGACTGAAATTCTAAAAGTGTCGGCTTTTGAATGCATGTACTCAAGTGATCTTATGATGCAGTACTCGGTCCGTAACCTGGTTATTCTTGTTTTAATACTTAATGGTGTCGTGTTCGCCCATTGGAAAGTTATGATTGATTTAAGTGAAACAGTTCTGTAGTGCTTCTTGGTTACTAATGGTTTTGCGACTAAAGTCTGTTGATGGTGATAGTGATTTTCAAATTGAACAATTTTTAAGAACCTATTTAAACATATATTCATTTTTGATAGTTTTTATATATAAACTTAAATATTTCTATTTTTATATTACTGGTTAATTTAAAATTTTTATCTAGAGACCGGTTTTCTATATCAATTAATATGCACGTAATTTGATGATACTTTTCCAATACGTAGTGCATACTTGTTAAAAGTATCAATTCTGTGATCTCTGTACTCGATTCTTAACTATTAGGTTCAATGTTCAAACACTTCACTAACTTTTTTTTAAATTCTAAATTTATTTGTTTCATATCCCTGCATGCAAGCACGTTAAGAATTTAGCTATGAAGCTTATTTTTGAAGAACATCTTTCAATCTGTACATTGTTATACAAATATAAAGTTTTATCAGTGTTTAAAATGGAAGCTTTATCAAAAGGGGATTTATTAATTTTCTCTGAAAATGTTGTATGCTATTCAAAAATGGATGTAAAATTCATTTTTTTTAAATTGTAAATGGGCGATTACATTACTTCTTTTTTGTCTATATAAAAATGTATGTTACTGATGAAACAACCATTCGAAATTTTAAAGTCGATAAAATTAAAGAGAGTCAAACGAAATAATATAAGAAACGAGGGCCATCTAATGAAAACAAGTTCACGGCTGAGTGAAGACGGAATTCTGTGACATTTTATCTGTATTCACTGCCCACTCATTATATCATAAATTATCAACTATTTATATTTTCAAGAGTGAAAAATAAAGTTTTTGAAAGACTTTGAGAAATGTTTATTAGAAAACAATCTAAACTTCAAGAGCATTAGGTTTAATTTATTAGTTCTATTTAGTTGGATGGTCAAGGGAAAATATCCTTCCACTTCTTGTCTGACTCTTTGGAAAGCATGCTGAAATTTACTGATGTATACATGTCTAAATTTAATACTTTCCATGTTAATGGTGAGTTGTTATGAAAAGCATTTTCGTAGCATTCGGTAAATAAGTCTGTTACTTATTCTCTTTCAATGTAAGAACCCCTCTAAAAAATGACCCAAACTAAGTACTATTAGATGTGCACTCTGTAGACACTGTTTTCTTATCAATGAAATAGCTACGGTTGTTTTCAGTAGAAGTTTCCTTGAAATACTTATCTCTTCAACTGATTGTGTTCTTCAAATAACCTTTTTGGATAAAGTTAAGTGTGAAAAAGATTCGTCATTTTCTCGATAGGGATTCGTCTAGAATATCCATATTTTTGTGATCCATCAATGTGTATGGTCAAGAGCATACTGAGAAGCGAAATGGACGATTTTGATTCCTTCTCCAGCATCAATTTTCATATATCATAGTTTGTCATATTTATGAATAATTTTTGAACTAAGATCATATTTCTATACATTGCAACGGAATGATGTGGCTTCAACAGTAATCTCATTTTATTTCCGTCCTTTTGTGTATGTCGTTGATAAAAGTAAGTTGCATATGAGAAGTATTTTCAGTAGGAGTTCCTTTAGGTTGACATTTGTGTATTATCCGTCCATATTATGCGAGTCTGAAATGAACAGTCATATCATGTAGTTGCATGCTTTTGTAGTAAATGTATTCTTGGCTTTATAACATAATACTGCAATTATAACCAGAGATGTATAGTGGCCAGCAGTGGAATCCCGGATGGCTATCTGGACTCAGTAGCTAAATTGATAACACGATGTCGTTTGAAGCATATGGTATTGGGTTGCAGGTACATCCGGCTGCCGAGTCGCAAACAAAATGAAGTGTGCGTCTTTGATTCCACTGTTAGCCACCATCCATATCTTCTTATTATGCTTGTGACTTGAAATAATACCGAGGCAGTCCGCACAGGATGCACATATGCCAATAAGAGACTGGTCAATTGCAGTCCTAAACATCAATAAGAAGATTTAAAGAACTAATACAAAAACGAACTAATGCTGAAATTTCTTGTATATTTCACATACTATTGTATTCTACAAACCAAAATTCATCCCAGTAATTTGGTCAGGTTTCTCATAACTGGTATTGTAATCAAGTGAATAAATAAATAATTTAAATTGAGCTGTATTTCTCGGTTGACAGTATGTAGTTCACTTGTAATTGTGTTTTCTTCTGTATATTTCTATAGCCTGAATCAAATACTAGTCTAGGAAACGTTGAATTGTCAAACCTTGAAAATGAAGAATCTAAATCACATAGTCGAATGTCTTCTTTAGACTTTCAAGTATGTTGTTATTACTTTTTCATTGTTAGTAAACTTGCCTTTTGGCTATTCTTATCTTCATCAATCAATCAACTTATAATAGCAATTTGATCTTTACAGTTATTGACATTAGACAATTCATTAGAAAAATGGAATATCATGTGGTTTTTGTTTTGATTCTGTTAAAATATCTTTTATCGGATTTGCGAAACATTTCAAAGTTATTTAAATGTTTCAGTTGAAACGTTTTTCTAGTCATCTACAACGTAGAATGAAGCACATTTATTCATCGGTTCAAGTTGCCATACCTCGTTAACACAACAAGATAAACACCAAGTTCATAGAACCAGTTACTTCAGTGGTAGTAATTTATTTAAAAAAAAGATTGTATATAAAGATATGGTACGGGGAGAAATCATTGGTTCTTAGAAAGTTGTAAAGTCATTTTAATCTCACGGTTTAAGGGAAGATAAAGATGATCAATTTTACTTGCGTTGTTTATAAACAGAAGTGATAATTATAATCATATTGTTTGATTAACTTATTCAACGATCTTTTATTTTGAATTGTGTAAGTGCTGCGTTTACACAAAATAATTGTAATATACATAGTTAATATTTGTTGACCTTAATATTTGTGTGTATTATAAAAATGGAATACTCTCTACAAACCAGGTAAAGCGTAGTTAGTTTGAAAATTCTTTTAACAGTTCTTTCTATTGTTTCGTTTAAATGGCGAATTATGAATTTCTTCTGGTTTCGTGAATTCCAGCTATCAAAAGCCATAAATAATAATTAATGTTGTTATCGTATATAATTCAAAATTGATGATAGCCACATTGTTATATTTTTGTTTTTATGGAACTTCGTGCCTAATGTCAATATTGTTTGTATAGTAGTTGCATCTTTTGTAAGCAAGATTTTACAAAGATATATACTGTACATTTGTCCACGAAGTACTAGAACGTACAGTCACGCAGTTTATCCATTCAACCTCAATTTAGCTTCTGGTTATCATTTTCAAAAGTTAATGGTGTAAATGTTTAATGAAAATATGTTCCCAGTCAAATTTAAGATATTCTAAAGAAACAGAGTATTTCTTTTTAAACTTAAACCGTAAAATAGTAATTTATTGTATTCGTGATGCACTTGGAAATCTTTTTATCTCATTACATGTCTCATGACTTACAGATTTTATCGTACATTTGTTGTTTAAACATTTTATAATGTTTGTCATATAACGTAAAACAAGCGAAATTATTCTGGATTGTTTTTCTGCAAACTGTAGCTTAGAGGTTGAGGCACTCGATTTTCAACTACTAAGTTTTAGGTTGAAATCTCAGATTACATGTCTTGTGTATAAACATCCAGTTAGTATTGTTAGCTCTCAGATAATCATTATGATGCATATCTAAATATATTAACGTATATTGGGTGATTTAGTTGAACTGTTTACATTCAATGTCTTTGCAGTTCCCTTGGTTAATTTTCTGTTTTAATGTTGTTAGTTAACCGATAACCACGTTATTTAATCTCAGGGTTTGTTTTAATTACTTGTTGACCTAAATCTGCCAGGCTCTGTTCGATATTGTATTGATATTTTTAATGTTAATGTGGATATTAAAATTCATGATTATTTATTTATTGTTTATAGAATGGAAAGTAGTGACATACACTAAAATTGTAAATCACCAAAATGCATTGAATTTTCGTATTATAGTCTTTATGAGGACAACCTATTAGCATGTGTTGATCACTAACAGTAGTATTTAACTCTAATCATATTTTCATGTATACGCGAATGTTGAAATGATAACTTCTAGGTAGATCATAAAAACTGACATTGTTTTCAAAAAAACCTGGCTAAACAGTTTATTATTATTTTTATTTTATCTGATTTTTACTTGAAATACATTTGAAATTACTATGCTTAAATTTATATTTAATTTGAGGAAATAATTTCTTATGTAGTTAAAAGTCAGAATGCATGAAGAAGAAACGAGTTACTATCATGTTCTATTTTATGTAGGGTGAAGATTTCGTTATGAATTAAATGATTCGAAAAAACTATTGAATATCAACATACTGCTGTTTTGTCCTACCTTAGATATCTTCAACTGTGTACACGCACAACTATCTAGTCTGAATATACCTTATTTACCATAATATTGAAGATCTTGGGGTTTATTTCAGTTGGTTCGAGAGTGCTCACTACTACATGGTTTTACGTGATGTTTCACATGATATTACTTCGTAACGAAAAGATATCTACAAGATATTCAATAGTTCTGTATAAAATTCCCAGTTTACCCATACCATTATCATTATCTCAACATAATTGCTGCATATTTCTAACCTTAAAATTATTTTCAATAAACCATGATCATTAAGTATAATATTATTCACTTGAGTAGTGCCTGTAAATTTGTTTTGTATGTTCATATCTACTTAATGCTACATAGTTACGTTTTGTTTTATTTGCCTCGTCAAACATTAACGTTTACACAATTATATCTTGGTTCTCCTTTATATAAAATGGAGTAATATCATGCATTGATATTATATGATGTTTTTTTCATAACATTTTAATAAATTGTTTAGAATGCATCAATTCATTAATAATAGCATAAATGTAAACGTATGTATTAGGGAATTATTTTCTTTTTCAACCTTGTTTACACGTTAATTGTACAATTTATTTTGTTTATGCGTTTTCATCTTAATTTTCTTCAATCATTCAATACATATTTGAAATGAATTAAAAAGGTACAAAATTTTTTCATGTTGGGTTCACCAATTGGTTTAATTTTGGCTTATCGTTATCAACAAAATCAATTAACATCGTCTATTGTATCATCTAGTAAAACAAATCAGCTAATTACTAATTCATCTTATAATATGGTTTATCATTTATCAAAAGGTAGGTTATTTCATTTAGAAATTCATAAATAACTTAAAAAAAATTTTTTATTTATTTACAAATTGACCGTTGCTGTTGTTAATTCATATGTCTTTTCTCTTTTAAAAAAAATGTTCATAAAGTATCCTATTTCTATGTGACTTTAAAAATTGATTATCACGTGAAGCGGAAAAAAAATCAATAATCAAAAGCAAATGATAAAAAACACATATGTAATGAACAAAAACTTAGATACAAAATTATAAAGTGATTTCATAAAAAAACTATACATCAAATATATTTATATATTTGCACATCTTCAATTGTACTGTACGGGCTTCATGATTCTTTCAATCTTGTTGTAATTACAATTGCTCTTTATTTCTCTTCTTGTTCTTTTCAACTGAATCTTCTACTCACAGGCATTCTACATCTGATTAGTGCCACATACTACGTATATCGATCAACATAAGTAGCAGACACCACATGTATACATTGCTAAATTGTCTAAATTAATATACAAATTTGTGTGGAGATTTACAAAATTGTTTTTTATACTGTTCAGTTTCTTGTTAAGTTTTTACATGATTTTTTGTCAAATTTCAATGTTCGGTTAAACGACGTTGATCATCAACTGAGCTGATCAAATTTAAAAGAATAACTATTAAATTAAATAACATGACGTTCTAGGCATTATTTACATGATCGACTATACATCTATGGAGTGAGTATCAGGTTGTGAAGCTTGTTGAATTTCACTTAACTCATGAACCGATCATTGTTAGATCACCATTAAAAACGTAGAAGAACTGATAAGCCGTTTCGTTCTAGTATCGGACTCTTTAGCAATGTGCGTCCACAATCCTGCACGTGGGACTCAAACCCAGTACCTTCTGTCTTGCGCGAACGCCTCACTTGCAGACCATTGAGCCGGCAACCAACAGTGTTGAAATCTGCTCAGTTATTTTCTTTTGAACTATGTAAGTGATCGAATAAAATCCCCTCGAATCAACTGTGTAAGCTAGGTGGAATAAAAACTATATTGGAGCTTCTCAGTAAGGTTTCATCTAGTTTTACCTTCCTCGAATAGAGTTTAACTTTAACATTGATACTCTCTTTTGTCTATTTAGAGATGATCAGTTTACAGAGGTAAATTACAACTCTTGTAGGTTTTATAACAACTTTCTCTTATCCAAATCAACCAGTATATCTTTCTGATGTGCGTCCATGCAAACCAGCGAAATAGTTGTCTGAATTTGCCAAAGCACTTTAAATTGCCTAGGCTCCATTGTTTATTGTTTTGAATGTTTTCAACTGCCTAGGTTCCAAGATGGTAAACAACTCAATGAAGCTAGAAGAATATTGGTTGTAGTTTTGTGTAATATTTTTGATGATTTATTTCTTATTCAGTATTTAATTCCGCTTTTAAAGTTGGATTATAGATTCAAACATGGTTCTGCTTGTCACATTTAAACACGAGATTGAGATTATTGAGTTTGGAAATCCAGTGAATTGACTTCACGTGGATATCTATTTTTATAATCTTATATTGATTATCTCATTCTGATACGAATTTTCGAGATGGCTTCAATGTCGGTCATTACCTCTTAATCCTCGTAGAAAAGGTTTTTGTCAAAATTTGTCTGACATGATTTCGTTTTTGACTTTATAACCATAATCTTTTAGGGGATACCAAGTTGCTTGCTGAAGAATAACGTCAATTAAGGACTGGTAGTTATTTCACTTTTCTATTACTTTGCAGTGTTCTGTTTCAGTCAGTATAATACATCACTATTTGAATCATGTGAGCCATTGCACAGTAGCAAGACTAAACACTAAGTCCATTATTTTCGCATGGAGTTATAACACCAAACGATTTTCTATCCAATGCACTATACATAGAACAAACGTATCTAATAAATTTTGCGGTTGAAATTAATAATCAATTCGTATTTGCAACAATACACTTCTCGATGATGACTATATGATTCAGTTAATTATGTCTTTCTAATTTTCTTTTTCACAATCATTGGATAGAAATTAAGTTGTCCGTAGGTCAAGCTTATAATCTTTTCCATTTAACTGATCCATGTGGTTTTCGCATTGAACCATTGTTGGATAATCGTTTCAGCTGTATATCCCCAATATTCATTCCCCAATATGTTCGTTATCCACTTGGAGATGGACAGTCAACAAATCTAATTGAAACTCTTATACAGCAGGCTGAATTATTTTCTGAAAATGTTTCAGAAAAATCATACAATTTATCCGATAGTGATAATTCTACGATTAATGAAAATAATGATAGTAATGTAAATGTAAAACGAGAATTAACAAATCAACAGTTAAATTGGGAAAAAAAGTCTATTGTTGCACTTGAAGCATTGAAAAAAGGTTTGTTTTCTCACGTAAAACATCTAAAATGTTTTGTTCATATATGTAACGTACTGAATATACTTTGTAGTAGTACTAATATTGTTGCAAAATTATTTTTTTGATAAAATATCCTATTGGTTTTTTTTGCAAGATTAGTAACTTGCTTTCTTACTTGCTGTAGTTAACTGGATATTTTGAAGCTGAGAGCGCTATAACTATCTAGACGTCACAATACTAATCGTAATCAAAAAACTACTGTAACAGTGATAATGTTATTGTCCAAAATACCAAAATCCAACTTGATGCAACACAAAATGTTAAAATATACAATCACCATTAACTAGTTTACTAATGAAGATTCATAGTACTTTTTGTATTAATCGCCACCTCGCAGCACGATAGTCTTGATCAATCATCAAAAACGTGCTGCCCAACCAACATTATTTCAACGGTGCCAAATGACACAACATTCTTCGGCAAAATGAGCTACCAAGATCTTTCTCAATACATTAGCACGTGTAATGTTGTATAAGACAGTTTGCATCTCGATTATGGGTAGTACTGTAGAAATCTTACCGTATGTTTGGGTATTCTGGCTATGTCTTCTTGACGATCATGATTAACACAAATAATGCCATAAAAATCATTTTTAATATCCTCGGATTTATGATTGATTTCAGGAGAATATACACTTTTAAAGCCACAGCTATGGCAAATCACAGTTATGAGCTCTGAATTCTTTGACAATTGACACACTACCTTGATCTTTATATCGATTCGTAAGAGGGTTAATGACATTTTGCTAATGAAGCCATGATAATGCTATATATGAGTGGATTGATTTATAGATGTTCATTTGCATACCTAGGAAAGCATAAAAATTGTCCATTCTTAGTTGTAGACGATTGTTCAAATGGTGTAAAACATTGGTTGATAGCTGCACTAGCTATTCATAATACTGACATGAATTCTTTTATCTTATATGCAGTCATAACACGAAATAAATTACTATCAAATGCACTATAGTTTTCTAAAAACTTGTGTTAGATAATTTCAACTAGTCGACAAATAGATTTTCGGAAGTAATTCAGCATACAGTAGGTCATGGTAGTCCAGCTCTCCATAGTAAGACATCTAGTAATAGGTTAGTGAATTGGGAACATAGTGAACCGAATATGAAATGGACAAAACAAGTGTGTATGATCTGAGTATTCCAAATCTTTTGAATATGGAGATCAGGATGTTGATAGGATGCAATATCCCATAGTCACAGTCGTGAAGCAAACATTCGGTGATTAGACAGGTGTATGCTATATTAGGTGGTCGTTGAACCAGAGCTTATCATCATTGCTCTTGAATATGTATTCAAACCAAACAGGACAACTAGTTTACTCATTGTAATCTTAGGTTTGACGTATATTGTAATCAGATGTTCAGAAAGTATATAATTAGTTTTCGATAAATTTGTAAGTATTTTGCATCAGCAGTTATAATCTTGAATTATCATTGTAAAGATCCATCTTCCTAATTATTTATGAATTTCAAATAACTATTCGACTACCTTTCTATTTCGAATTTTGCAAACTGTTAGTCACTAATAAATAACATTAAGCATGGTATTAATGTTCGATGGTCCAAGATACCATATTTGAAACCTTTACATAGAGAGAATATCAGCAAGACTAAAAATCAGATTGTTAATATGACGTAGTAAAAAAAAACTAGGATGAAATTTGAGATGGTAAAGTCAGATAGATACAGTTAATGACATTCAATAATAATGCCTATTTTTAGTGTACAATTAATAATTGTTCTAACATTTAAAGTAGGTCAGTGTTTAATAAAATAACCAAAAACATATATATTACTGAAGGATAAAATAATCAATAATTAATTACCATTTTATAAATAAAAAAATCTGTATGATGAACCAATGATTGTTGAAATTTATTCAGGTTAAAACCATTCATTGTTCTTTCCTTGCCTAAGGGTAATATATGATTATTGCAATGTTTTTTTAAAGAAAATAAAAAACGTTATGGTTACTAGTTCGAATTCCTGTCAGTTTGATGAGTTCAAATTTCATTTTAAAACGTCAGTAACATACAATCAGTGATGCTAAATTTTCTAATTTTGTACGGTTTTTGACCGCTATAAGCTAAATGCTATCAAAATGAGACATAAATGAACCTTGTATGATACTTATGCAACGTATCGAATGTGAAAGAGAAGGGTCATCTGTTAAGTACTCATGCAATACTTTTTCAAGTGTAAACAATAAATTCGAGTTGACTAATGTAGATTAATCTTACACAAAGTAATTTCATAACGATGACTTGTATTTCGGCAAAGATTTTGCTAAACACATCTCCGCTATCTAAAAAGCATTTCAGAAACAGTGTTTTTTCATTGATTTGTCTACATTAAAAATAGAATTTTTACTTTGTATATTATCAAACTGGGCTACAATTAAATTACTCGTTTAAGTTGTTAGTTATAGGCTTTTTCATTATCTACACTTAAAATACTTCTATATATCTGGTTTCCACATTAGTTTGCATATGATTCGCTCATTAGTTTATCGCCTCATGCCTATCGAAATTGCTTTTGTTTAGGGTTTTAGTTATGAGTATCGCTCTTTGTCCTGCAATATGAAACGAAACTTTGTATGAGACAGATTAGTAACATGATGATAATGCTTTCACTCATTTGTAAAATTAAATTACGCAATGCTGAAGTAAGCGGAGTTAAAATGTCTTAGTTTACTACTTATTCGTCTTAAACAAGTATCTTTCTTTTACCAGTAACTACTTTTAAGCACTTGCTTTCTTTTTTCTAGTTCAACAGTCATGGTGGGGACCTAAAAGAGTTGATTACAATGTTCATTGTCCAGAAGCAATGCAAAATATTTTAGCTCGTGCACGTCCTTCAATTTTGCATGCAAGCTACTGGGAATCAAAAGATGTAGCATCTTTTATTATACGACAGGTTAGTGTGTTCAATTCATACTTAGAAGTCTGATCTCAAACGATAACCTTTTTGTACATCAATTGATGTCAAACAGTGGATTGTTAAATTGAATTGAATTTATGCTTAATCCGTATTTATCATTCTTCAATATTAAACTATAGTACAATTTAGATAAGATTAACCACATGTTTAGAGCACGCGAAATAGCTAAATATTTTAAGATTGATAATCATACTACCGTTTTGTGGTTGTGTTATGTCCTCTGAACTAGGCAATTTAATTTTAAGTTTCATTATTGATCTGGACAACAACATTCACACTTCACATAGAAGTGAGTTGTTTAGTTAATCTAATCTAATATATATATATATATATATATATATATATATATATATATATAAACAATAATCACTCGACGATGCATTTGGTTATCGATATTCTTTTTTACACTTTTGTTTCGAACTTTCATCTCACCAATGAACAATTTAATAATGCTATCCTAATATTACTGTGTTTTATGCTTGTATTTTTTTTGTTTAAATGTCATTTCAGCACTGTCATTACTGAGCTTACTTATCAAATTTCGATTCCTTCTTGCAGGTATTATACACTTAGACTGTCATTGGTTAATTATAATGTTGCTGTTCCGACGTCTCTGTTTTTGTTGTCTCTTCTCTAGTTGTGGATAATTAGAATTACTCTTTAAGGGTAGTTGAATCACTTCTCCATATAGTATGCATACTTCAATAGGATATCCCAGTTATCCTACTCAGCCTACTTCTGCCTCACATGACTCTAATCCTTGTGATAAGTGTTCTCTCAAAATAACCTATGAACAACATATTATAAAACGTTTTATCTTAAATATCTATGCTCTACATGTTGTTTTTTGTATCAACCTCACCACGCCTTTAAATTGACATCAGTTCTGTAGCTATTTCTAGAATATAATTTGGAGATGGTCATTTTTCCTGGTGATAAATCCATTATGTTCTCTGGAGCTAAATCCCAGGTCTGAAGCCCAAACCAGCTACTTTATTTCGTTCAGCCGGGTTGTATCCGTAGCTCATGTTTAACTACCTTGTAAATGAACTAATTTTATATTACATTACATTAGGAGATCGGTTATACGACTATTCTCTGACGTGTATCTATGATTTTCCGATAAATAATCTTATCAATTAAAATTTCTAATATTTGTTGTGTGTATGTATTTCCAGATTCTAGATACACTGGGATTAAGTGTTCTAGAAACATCATACTCGGCAGATTTGTCTGATGAAATAGCTGTCACGGAACTGGCTAAATTATCATTGAATCCAAATCAGATAAAATCACAAACCTATGAGGTTATGGATGACTCCAGTATACAAATTTCACAGCAATCAGAAAAAAGTAGTAGTGGTCAATCGAGATTCTCCAACCTTAGTCATACTTTGTCATTTGGACCTCGTAATTTCTTGAAACGAACATCATCTGAACGATTAAAGGTAAAATAATAACAAAAGTTTGCAGTTTTGGTATTCAGTGGATTTTTTAAAACTAACTGTTATAGTCGGTCTATTCGATGAACTAAGTCGTTGTTCCACCTTGAATTTCAACTGAATCTTTGTATTTCCAGTCCAGACTGACTTAAATTTTCGCTTGCTAATTGCAGATAAAATAAGCCAATATATTTAACTACTTTACTTCACACTTGAAAATGAAAAAAACCCGTCTGAATGTATTTTACAAGTAGAAGTTTAGTATTAAGATGAATAATCCAGAAATAATTTCGTTTTCAGAGGAACTACACGTGAATTTCACATTTTTACTTACTACACTTCACATTGTTTTTATTATCAAATATCCTGTAGTTTTGTTTTATCAGATGACTATTAGCAGTAACGTTTTATTTTTCTAAGCACACATTACTACATCATATCATTTCAATTTCGGGCTTTGGTTCATGTATGGCAAGTTATCCATCATTAGTTACGTTTTGTTTAACTAATTATTCGCGAAATCATTCTATTTTTTGTTAACTTACAATACATGGATATGTAATATTCAGAATATTGTATTTTTTCTAATGGAAATGTACTTTAAGCTGAAAATAGTGACAAAACTTTCAGTAATAACATAAGTTGTAGTCACAACTGACTCTCTGAGTACAAATGAATTTATAACTGATTCTTATTATTTATTATTTCTGTCTGTTCAATATTTCTGCCTTTTATGTTTTGAAAAACTCTCTGTCCATACAAAACATAACTACCAGACTTTTTCTCCATTCACACTCTAATGATTAGTATCTCTTTTCTTCCATTAAAACAACTGTTTGTTTGTTCACAATCAGATTTCATTTTCTGGTTTTATAATATTCAACCATTCTAAAAACTATAATGAAAAGATAAAACAACGTATTTCCATTTAATATTAATTAAAAGTACGTCTACTTAAGTACTTAAAACAAGAAAATGCATTCTGATGCTTTGTCATGAAATTAACTGCTATTCCTGTGTTTTATTTTGATGATTTTTGTAAGTATTTTCTCTTAAATCGAATTACAGAAACCATACATTTCTAATAAACTTAACGTTAATTTTTTCCTATCGTGGTTTAACATGTTATTAATAGGGTTTTTGAAATGTATGAAATTTTACTGGAATTAGAGCATTGGTTCACTGGTTAAGGGAATCGATTTTCGATAACTAGGTCGCTGACTCGAGTTCTACTCTACTTATTTTGGTTTGGGAATGCGGGTTGTATTACTATCCCTTATACTTAAAGTGCGATTCAAAGCTGAATAAACCAACTTGTATGTGCAAAGGAGCTACATCTAATCGAGTTTTTAAAATTAATTGCTCTCTCATTTTACTTAATAACTACATAATATTATTTTCATGAGAATCGACTCTTATTTCATTTTAATCACCAATTGTTCTCTTTTGTCTATGTTGATCTTAGTCTGCTTGTATTCCATATCATGTGGTAAGCGGTTCATATAGTTTTTTGGGGAGGGTGACGTGAAGGTTCTGTCGTTGAAGTGTGTTATTACTTAACTTTCTCTATGTTCCCATTCTATCTTTTGCCATGTTATTAAAAATTACTGTTGTACACATTTCACCATTGTTATAATAGTTGGTTTTAATTATTTATTGTCGTTAAAGTTTCGTCAAATGTATATATTGCACAATACCATTTGCTTTTTATCTAAGGATATTTTGTTTCGTTTGTTGTCATTGCGTGTCAGTTAAACTAACAAATTATAAAGTTGAATATTAATAAATTCCTAGGGTAATTAATGACAATTTAGCTGATTACTTTGACTATTTATTTTTTATTTTTGCTTTAGACTTACATTCTGAATTATCAAAATTTATCTTAATTTTCGGCACAAGGGGTTTGTTGAGATTGCTGAATATTATTTATTTTTAAAACGACCTAGGTTAGATATGAGTTGAAAAACCACTAGAGAGTTATTTTGTCGTAGTTTAGCACTTATTGACAGTGAGCATCAACAATCCAACCGGGCGATCACACTCCTGACCTTCGATCTCGTGCCCAAATGCTTAACCTCTAAACCATTGGACTTGTATCCACTAGTGTACATGTTTGACTTTAATTCCAATAAGTAGTGATTCCTTTATAAAATGCATTCATTGATGAATTATGTTAACAAAGATTTTGGTGTACGTACTGAAATTTAGACAGTTAAATATTTTTAAATTTTTTTATAACTTGCATGCATTTGGTATGATCTGCTGAGTGAATCTCGATATTTTGAAATTGCTTAATTTGTAGTGTCTTCAGTTGCTACAATTAAATAGGTTTTATACATATATTTATCATTTGCTTTTCTTGTCTTCGACACAACTTATCGATGATTTTCTAAAGGATAATCTTGAAATAAATATAACCTACTGTTCGCATATCATCCTATGCTGAAAATGATGGATAATTCATCTTTTACCATGTAATGTAATTGTTGTAAAGTGTAAACTTAATTAACTGCATTTAAAATTTCGGATATGAATTTCCTTGTACAACTTGACTCATAATTCTTGTATCATTTATTGTTGATTCGAAAAATAAACATCATGATTAGTAAAACAAAAAAAGTGAACCAAACTTGAACTTATTGACTTCTTGACCATAGCTTATCTAGTTTGGAGATAAGGAAATAAAAAGACAAAAAAAGTTAAGAACAACCATCAATAAGGTTGAAGATCGAACACTTTTTACTATCAAGATTAAAAATGAAAATTCAGTCCTTAAAATTCGATAACCTTTGCTAATTTGTGTTATTTTAATTTGATTTTAATTATGATAGAACTTTCAGAGACATTTCTTTGGTATTCCTGAATATCGAGTTCCGATATAATGTTCAGTGAAAGAAATGTGAAGTTCATCTTTTCATCTTCATAATTTTATTGTAACTTCTTAAATAAAGTTTGCTTATAACATGAAGAGATGAAAATAATTGAAACAACTTCAAGAATAATCAAAACCGTTTGTAAAAAACTAAAAAGAAATTTCATCAAAACCTACAGAATAATTTGTTTAACTTTTTTAAATCTCAAGCTGAAAAAGATTATCTTTTATCTGCTATCTTCATATTCCACATACTGTCAAAAGTCTGTCTCATTTTGAGATGTTATTAACTAATTATCTAGTCAAATGTTCATTTAACAATTTAAATGTTAGTCGGTTTATACTATCAATCAAGTTTATGCTTCATCATCTCTTCAGTTAAATATTTGGAAAATGGCTTATTAAAAGTACTCTACTGCTCGTATATTAATCCAAATCATTCTTATCTGGATCAATTTGATCTCTTTATAATGCTTAGTTTTTAATTACTGTTTATATAATTATCCCGATACTTTTGCCTTTCAATAAAGTAAACTTGCCAATTTAAACATTTAATACAGAACCAACTAAGCTAAAAAGATTTCTTTTCAGCTAGCTAAATCTATTGCTTAATTTGTGGACATTATGGATCGTGGTTGGATAACTGTTAATCGCTGGTAACTAAGAGCTAAATACTAGCTCATCTGATTGATACTAAACATAAGGTTGATACGATGTACAAGAATTAGAGTGAATATAGTCCAACTTTCCGTGCCACTACCATTCTGTTCGCCGTATATCTTACTACATTCAATAAAAGTAATCACTACTTATATTATTGAACTGTGTCTTTGGGAATATACAGTTTTTATGCAGTTATCGTGATTAATTTTTACCTGAGCTTTCTACTTTAACCAGAACAACTTAAGTCATTTCTATTTTAATTCTGTATCACTTGCATATTTTCTTTTGTCATGTTGAATTGAGATGTAAGACATTGAGGGAAGTCTACTGGTGATTACTTTATTGTACAAATGAATATTAGATTATACCACTGCTTAGCTTGTCTACTGATTATATGATCTTGTTTTCTGCTATGCACAAAATTGTTAAAACCATGGGATATTCCTAAAAACCTGTGAAATGAGTTCATCTAGACACTTCTGTAACATTGAAAACAGTTTATATTAAAGCAATGAATTAATTACATTTCGATGATAGCTGTCATTAAGATCTTGTCAAATCTTCCATTACATGTAAAAGTACATTTTAATTATCATTACATAATTTTTTGTGTTTAAGTAATACAATATAAAATTTAAAAAATTGTCTTCAGCCATGGTAAACATGACTTTAATACTATCACTGAGTAATTTAAGCTGACTGAATGATTGACCTTTCTCTAAATCTGTCGTTCCGAATTGTCATGTTAGTAGAACTTTTCTTCCGAAGAAGAAAAAAGCTTGCAACATCTTTAATCCTAATTCCTCTATAGCGTTAATATAGACAATCATAAAAAAACGCCTTTTTTCAATTTAGCCATCTACTTGATAGAGACGTATGACATTCATATTTATCCTCTTTTCAGAGTATAATATCGACTGTTAACCAAGTATTATATATTGGTCTTTTTATATCTTCTAAAGTTCGAACTAAATTAAAAGAGAGTTTTGTGCATTTAATTTTGAATGTTTTTAGTTTGTTGACTTGTAGGACATACATATTATTCTTGTTATTCGTTTTCGGGATTATTTAATAGTTTTCTCGTTCTTTTCCCTGTAATCAGAGACTTCACCACTGAGCTCGTTCATACGATGATTGTATTCCGGTTTTTAAATGAATTAACATTCGTTCTAGTGTTATACTACTGATTCACTTTAATACTACGAAAATAAACAAGACCATTAGCAAGAACTGAATAGTTTGTATTACTATCGTTTTGCATAAATTACTAAGTTCTGTGAGAGACAGTCGAAATCCACTCATACAATCCAACTGTTAGGAATATCCTTGGTTTTAATATCAGGTTAATTCTAATTGTATTTTCGATCGTATGTACACTTATTTTTAGATTGATTATGAAGAAGCGTGTAATTTTAGTCTCTTACTGCCTCATCTCTAATGTTTTCTGCAAATTACTTTCTCAAGTTATTTATTAATCTTGGTGTATGTATCAGTGATTACTTACTTACTTACTTACTTACTTACTACTTACTTACTTACTTACTTACTTACTTACTTACTTATACTTACTTACTTACTTACTTACTTACTTACTTTACTTACTTACTTACTTACTTACTTACTTACTTACTTACGTACTTACTTACTTACTTACTTACTTACTTACTTACTTATACTTACTTACTTACTTACTTACTACTTACTTACTTACTTACTTACTTACTTACTTACTTAATTACTTACTTACTTACTTACTTACTTACTTACTTACTTACTTACTTACTACTTACTTACTTACTTACTTACTTACTTACTTACTTACTTACTTACTTACTTTACTTACTTACTTACTTACTTACTTACTTACTTACTTACTTAACTTACTTACTTGCTTACTTGCTTGCTTACTACTTACTTACTTACTTACTTACTTACTTACTTACTTACTTTACTTACTTTACTTACACTTACTTACTTACTTACTTACTTACTTACTTACTTACTTACTTACTTACTTACTTACTTACTTACTTACTTACTTACTTACTTACTTACTTACTTACTTACTTACTTACTTACTTACTTACTTACTTACTTACTTACTTACTACTTACTTACTTACTTACTTACTTACTTACTTACTTACTTACTTATTACTTACTTACTTACTTACTTACTTACTTACTTACTTACTTACTTACTTACTTACTACTTACTTACTTACTTACTTACTTACTTACACTTACTTACTTACTTACTTACTTACTTACTTACTTACGCCTGTTACTCTTCGTGAAGGAGCATAGGCCGCTCACCAGCATTCTCCATCCAACCCTGTCCTGGGCAATCCTTTCCAACTCCTTGCAGTTGTTATTCATAATTTTCATATCTGCTTCATTTTATTGAAATAACTCTTTTACGATCCCCAAGAATTGTGTCTTAAAGTCAGGTACGTGAGTAGTAACCTGTAAACTAATCGTCTCCAATGACCTTTGACATTTTTTAAAGTTTAGTTTATTTTTGTAGTTTGTATATACGCGTCATTGTGTTATATAATAAACCTACTCCTCTGGTGAGTAGTCTTGTCTTTGATTTCAAATCATTTGGGGATTTCGAGTGCTCTTAAAGGTGTGAGGCTGTTTGTTAGAAATAGGTATTAGGTAAGTATGGAAAATCGATTTATGAGGTAGTGAATCTTCATCAGCTAAGGTTTCGTAGCATCTGTTACGTATCCCTGTCCAACGCGTACCTCAATGGATGTTGTCTGGTGTAGGAGCACGCTGGAAGAAAGCTAGGGGCGCAAGACCAAGATATTTTATCAGTCCATGAAGTCATCGACTGTTGGACAGAACCATGTTCATCGATTCAGACTACTTTGTCGGGGTCTGCGTGATTACCGTAACCAATGGTTAGAGACTTCCAGTCAGTCAGTAACAACGTAGAACTTCTTACGT